ATAGCGTAATAATAAATGTGTCGTAACCCTCCATCACCCGACACAGCCAGTATGGTTTGTTACGTAAACAACGCGTCACTCAGTGACTGCTTCAGCCCACCGGTATGTTGGAGTAAATCCACGACGTTTACAATTTGGGTACCGTGACGTTTTGCAGGCGATTTGCCCAATGATGCTGGCAAATCGGCCAAAACATGCCCAGGTTAGTTAGAGTGGAACATCGATTATTCGGCAGCTTCGGGGGGGAGGGGGGAAGTGGCCGGATTTTCAAAAACGCCGGATAATTGCTACATCATCATTATTTAAAATAGCTTACTTGCGCATGTTCTTGTATAACATTGTCTTTTTTAAGTGTTGTGTATAGTTTTATGTGTTTTAAATGTGTTTACCTAATAAAGAAATTGGCACAAATAAAGGTACAAACAGACAAAAATAAATGTCCAACTTTTCAAACGTTACTGTATTTATTCTAACATAATTCTAGATTTGAAGCTTTCGTGACTGCAAGGATTCATATTCTGAGGTTTTTTTCGGTAAAATCACGTAGGTAAAGAATTCAAATTAATAAAAGTAAAATAAAATAAAAATCACGACGTTTCGGAGGCAACAAAAGCTTCCGTCTTCAGGTGGAACCGTCACAGCCAGACAGCTGTATCAAGTAAATGAGAGATTACAAGAGATACCACTCCGGGCCAGGAACGGCACACTTTTTATTATTATGGTAAAGTGCGGCTTGAGACTATGAATAGACTGCATAACAAAATGATGCAAATGAGACCGAGCCTCTGCCATGTAGATGGTAATAGACTGCATACCAAATGACTGAGCCTTTATTATGGAGAGGTTCGGTTTGTGACTACGCTTAGCCTACATAACAAAGTGTGAAAAAAGAAGCTAAACCTGGTAAAACAAAACTGGCTGTCTATCAGTAACCTGTAATAATGGTCTGTCAAATAAGATGGTCCAAATAAGTGTAGTTAAATCTTTTTTGCATGGTTAATCACATTTTTCCAATGATTACTCAGTTTGTAACCATCATCACGGTTGAAATTATGTCTGTGTTTATACACTACTTACACTATATACTACTACACTATACACTACTACACTATAGACTACTACACTATATACTACTACACTATACACTACTACACTATATACTACTACACTATGCACTACTACACTATACACTACTACACTATACACTACTACACTATAGACTACTACACTATACACTACTACACTATACACTACTACACTATACACTACTGACAAGTAGGTCGTCTGGGGACAGGGAAATTCCATTGATTGTGGATACCAGGTCAGTAGAGTTTAGTACCGCAGAGGTGGTTTTTCCAGTGAAAGGCCGCAGGATTTCAGACAAAAAACGAGCCAGTTTGTAGGTGGGGAGTTGATAGTAGAGACATTGTTGGGGTCACAAAAAAGATCTCCAAAATCCTGATTAAGCACAAGATCCAGGTCCGATTCAACACAGTACATAAAATCTGTGATCTGGTCCCGTCTGTAAAAGATGTGGTTCCAGACATACAGTACCCTGGCGTCTACAAACTAAGTTGCCTCTGTGGTCGCAGTTACATTGGAGAAACCAAACGACATGTCTCGGACCGCATCCGTGAACATAAAGCAGACCTGAAACACGGTAGGACAAACACCTCAGTCGTGGCAGATCACTGTTACAATTCAGTGGGCTCACATGACATTGACTTCTCCAAGACAGAGGTTCTCTGCAAGCCATTTGGCTACCATGAGAGATTCGTTCATGAGGCGATCCACATATACAAACACAGAGACAATTTCAACCGAGAAAATGGATTCTGGCTTAGCAATCATTGGAAGGACGTAATAAACCATTTCGGATCTTAACTGATTGTGTTCACGTTTACGGTGTTCTTTCAGACCGCAGTCCACTCACTGACATTGACTATATATCTTTTATTCTCCGCAGGGAATGGATTCTTTGCTCCGCTGCAAGTCTCCCCCCACCACTCTCCCAATGACATATTTCGTTGCTTCCTCTTAGTACCTTTCACGTGACGGTCAATGGTATAGTGTACAGCAGATTGTATAATAATAATAAATAGTATAAAAGTGTAATGTTTAATATCATGTATAAGGTAATATATAGTATCGTAATTGTATAGTGAATATACAGCAGTGTGATATACAGTAGGGTGGGTAGAATAATACATTGTGTAATATTACAATGGTTAGTCTAAGGTATAGGGTGGTGTATAGTAATACAGTATATAATTTTAAGTTGGGTTTGTCTATGGCAGTATATAGTACGGGTAGACCCGTGTGATGTAAGAGAAAAAAGTTTAGCTGGATGCATATTATATTTTTTGCGACGTAGAATTGTAATGTATGACTAACTGTTAGTAGCTCAGCTTATTGGAGAGTATATTTAGTATACTGATGATACTGATGTAGTTTATATTTTTGTTTTTTACGTGGTGGTTTAGTTATTAATGCTAACCCTACTCCCTCCCTTTGATGTTGCTAATCCTGCATAATGCACGGGCATAATATGACTTTGAAACCCCCCGCCCACCTCCTACGCATTCCACAAGTAGTGACTAATCCCATATCTACATTTCCCATAAATATGCTAAATTCCTCTTGATATGCAAATTCCTTTGTCAAGGCGCTCTTCCCCCTCAAACCCAGCTTAAATATACGCTGCCAAGCCTGGTGGTGTTCATTCAGACGCTGTCTTTCCGACAGACCTGTTCTTCACCTGAGGACGGCTGCTTGCGTTGTGGCCGAAACGTCTTGAGAATTATTTTATTATGTTTTATTTTATTTTATTATTTCCCGTCTACGTGACTTCACCGAAAGAACCAAAAAGATGAATCCCTGCAGTCACGAAAGCTTTTAATCGAAATGTTGTTGCTTGGCTCTCCAACACACTGGTGTGCTGTACTAGTGACGAATTGGAATGTTCTGTTTACGTGACAACCCTCACTAGTTGGTTGTGTCGGGTGGTGGCGGGTTTTATCGACACATTTATATATTTAGGCGATCTAGCCCCAAAACAATCTCTATTATTGATATAGAGGTTTGATGTATTTACGTGGGCAAAATTACCCATGATGCAACAACTTTATTTTATTGTCTCTCTCTCTCTCTCGCTGGGTGCTGGATGGTTATAGATAAACAACTGACATTATACATTACACGATGATCTGACGCAAGTCAACGGAATTATGAATCATATAAATGTTTTAATGTTCGTACTTGATGTTGCTTTTGTGACTTTTGGAAGACGGAACGTTGTTCTGCACTCGGGACGTCTCCAATGTGCTCGTCTCTCTTCAGAATCAGTATTTATTCTGGAGGAATCCGATGAGCTTTAATTCTCTTTTTCACAGACGTCCAGTCGGGGCACGGGCTAAGAACGTTGCAACAACAGCTGCTCAGCACGGTGTGACCAAAGACCCCAAAGACACCAAGCAACGCGGTACTGCTTACGATCAAAGTTGTAACAGGTGAGAGTTATCAGACGTTGACTTGCAGAGAGCTTGAGGTGACTGGCGGTGGGGAGATGGTGATGATGATGATGGGAGGGAATTACAAAATGCAGCGGTGTGAGTGAAGAACTAAAATGTAAGTAGAAATGTAGAACTTTTTTCTCAACGTGCTAATCGGAGGTGTTATACATACGTACTGACATTTTCCCAGTCAAAGGCACATATATGTCTTGTTTCTAACTACGTGTCCAAGAAATCTAAACCCTGCCTGTCTCCAATTATTCTCATTCATGTCCTTGCTGTGTACGCTGCTGCTACACAGCATTAATTAGCCGTATTAGTAAATATAATAATAAAAGAACACCCCGATGTTATCCCAAAATGACTAACAGGTAGCAGTTGGACAACACCGTGGATGAGTTTATTAGTTCTGAGTTTAACACGTACTAGTAGTTAGTAGCAGGATTTCACGACCAATATTATTCGTTATAAAGATCACGTAACTATAATTACGGATGATATATGTCGCGAAAGCCTACGTGTTAAACATACAATATACATACAACAGACATACAACATGAGATTTTTGGGTTAGATCGCGTAAATATAAATGTCGTTAAACCCGCCACTACCCAATTAGTAAGGGTTGTCAGTAAACAAAACTTGCCAATTCGCTCTTAGTTTAGCACACGCCTGGGAATTGCCCCAGGAAGAGCTAGAGTCTGTGTATGACAGTGTATGGTAGTCTAGTGTATAGTAATGTATGTTGTCGTAGCGAAGAGTAGTGTATAGTGTAGTAATGGATAGTAATGTATAGTTTCGTAGTGTGTAGTAGTGTATAGTAGTGTATAGTGTAGTGTATAGTGTAGTGGTGTATAGTGTAGTAGTGCATAGTAATGTATAGTAGTGTTTAGTGTAGTGTATAGCGTAGTAGTGTACAGTGTAGTAGTGTATAGTAGTGTACAGTGTGGTAGTGTATAGTGTGGTAGTGTATAGTGTAGTAGTGTATAGTGTAGTAGTGTATAGTAGTGTATAGTGTAGAGTGTATAGTGAAGTGGTGTATAGTTTGTAGTGCATAGTAGTGTATAGTGTAGTAGTGTATAGTAGTATATAGTGTAGTAGTGCATAGTAGTGTATAGTGTAGTAGTGTATAGTAGTATATAGTGTAGAAGTGCATAGTAGTATATAGTATAGTAGTGTATAGTGTGGTAGTGCTGGAGTCTGTCGCCAGGGAAAGGGAGGTGTGGACCTCCACCACTCAAAGCAATGACACCGCGACCCTCACCAGGATTGAGATATGAACGAGCGAAATATAAATTGCCCAAAAATAAACATCAATCAGGTTATCAGCAGCAAAGGTGGGAAACGTTTTGACGAACACGACTAACGGTAGACATTGGACTCTTCGCCTTCTCGGGCCGAGCGTGCGCCGGTGGCTGGCCGGTTACTGATTAACGGGACTGCCGCCTCAAATCACAGCTTTCACTCGTCAGTGTTGAGTCATCCGAACCGAGCGCAGGGACGCGTCTCTGCTGCGGCCACATCGCAAGGTCCCCTTTGTGAGAGCAAACAAGGGCCAGGGGGATAACCGCGACGTGTGTACGTGCGCACAACTCCTTTCGCACCGTACATAGCCAATCGCGCTCATCAGATCTTCAAGGGGGACCTTGTAGGGACACTTTCCAAGGAAGTCCTCTTCCGAGAAGTCCTCCTCCGGGATTCCCTTCCAGAGGACCTGCATCAAGAGGTCTTCCAGAGCCCCGAATGAGACCTCGAGAGAGAAGCTCCCCGAGAGAGAGAGAAGCTCCAAGAGACCTCGAAGGAGACATCCAGGTGCCTGTTTAGCGGAGATTGAGGCCACTTCGTCTGCTTGTTCTCCACCATGGGCTGTCGCCGAGGCTTGCTCAGTCCCCTGGAGGTGTCTCTGATCGTCCTCTTCGCGCTGCTCCTCGCTGCCATGATCGGTCTCCTGGCCATCGGGTGGCTCGCCTCCGAGGCGGGCGTTACAGGTACGGCACCAGGGGGTGCAGACCCCCCCGAGTGGGCAGGGAATGGCCCCTCAGCCCCTCAGCCCCCCTGCCCCCCCCCCCAACACAACAAAGGTGGCTTGAAGTAGATCGCAACTTCAGATGAGTTCCAGAGTAACAGGCAATGAAGTGTAGAGGAGGAGGAGGTTGATTCGTTCCATGGGTTTAATTACGCACTCCCAGAGGGCCGTGGGGTGAATGGGTTGCGTCAACACTTATTTAATATTTTGTTTGTAGAAATATGTATGTGTGTTGAACTTCTTTTGCACCGTATGTAGCCAACCGTGCTAATCGGAAGTGCGGGGGGAAGGACAACAAACTAAACACAACAACAAGCAGTTTTTGTGGCGAGACAAATATGTGAAGGCGACTTATTGTCTGAATACCTACCTTGTTATTTGTTATCTCCACTACGACGCCAATGAGTATTGTGTTACTTCAGTCGAATTAATTTTACTTTTTTTAATTGAAAACACATGTTATACCCCCCCCCCCCCCCAATTTAGGAAGATGTTAACTCTCTCGCCTGGTATGCAGGAGATCGTTGTCTCTCTTCCCGTTGTGTGGATTGTTATGCGAGCCCTCCGGTTTTTTCCTCCACATTGAAAATAAACATCACGCGTTTTAGAGTATTTGGCTGCTATACATTTCCACACGATAAGCCACTTCGCTGAGCTATTATTTGTGGCCAGGTCGCTTCTGAAAAAGAGCTACACAGCTCAGTGGGGGCTTACCTGGTAAAATGAATAATAAATTCGTTTTAATGTAATCCCAATTGTTATATCACGAGACACAGAACCCATACGGATTTGTCCCAGAGCAATGCAGCCCTTTCCGTATCGAGAACGGCCCGCAGAAGCAGAGGTCCACTTCTTCTAAATGAACGCAGTGCAGGGCTGCCACTTCCCGAGCCGCTCTGCCACTGTTCAACAAATGTTTACAACTTCTCCGAACTGTAAGTTAGCCCAACATTTTTGTTAGTGCAGAGCCACATTTTTTTTTATTCTGAAGGAGGGGGATTTTTTGTTGTTGCTGTGCAGTCAAACGCCGATGACCCAAGGCTGAGGGCCATCACACTATCCGCTTGTCACTGCAGAGGCAGACCTGAGTTCGAAATCTAGGAGCGGTGCACGGTGCCAACTCGTGATGCTCTAAAGCAGCCGTTCTTAACCTTCACTGCAGCCCTGCACCCCTTTGGTTTTCAATCGTAAAAAAAATGTCCGGTGTTAATGGAACAAAGTAAGCTGTTACTTACGTGCCCGTGCTTAATTTGTCTTTTCGATGATTTACCTTCTAAAATAATCTGCCCGTGTCTCGGACCTCCAGAACGAGCATCTCGCACCCCCAGGGGTGCAGCGTACACCCCAGGGTAAGAACCTCAGCTCTAAACCCTCCGATATTCACGGCCAACACCTTCAACAAATGAGTAACTGCTATAAAACTGGCTCATCAACCAGCTCAATGTAAAGCTACATCTGCTGGTCTTGCGTGAACATCAGCCGTACGAAGAAGTCTGGAAGAGGTCTATCTATATGTGTACATGCAGATCCATCCACTTGTACTGAGACCCATAGACTCTCACGGGGATATCTATGAACGAGGCGTCATCACTTTAAGATGTTCCTTGTTCATGTTTTTGTTTGTTGCGGTTACACCCGATTCAAGAGCCGAATGGCTCACAGGGCTATACCAAATAAATGAACTGAACTGAATGCTACGACCACTCCGCTACTCCTGACACAATCACATACGTTTAAGAGTACACATTTGGCTGCCTTTCCATTTTCACGTGATGGTAAGCCACTTTGTTGGGCTGTCATTTGTGAGAGCCAGGTTCGCTTCTGAAAAAATAAGTTAACGCCTCAGTGGGCTTTGCGTGGTAGGATTGTGATGGTTTTAGTTGTGTTTGTATGTTTCTGGGCGATTAGCTTGACTTTTATTGCACTTTGCACTACTATCGTGTTTGTTGTTGTAACGTTCTTACCCCGTGCCCCTAACTTGGACATCTGTGAAACAGAGCTTTATAGCTCATCGGATTCCTCAGTATAAATACTGACTGATTAATGCACAGTGTGACCCCGTATTGTCCAAACGTCCCCATGTAGCAGGACCTCCCCGATAGGAGTCTTGGGGCTTGGTGTGGCTGTCCTGGCTAAGCCGCTCGCTGTCGTGGTGGTTTTGTGAGTTGTGCTGCTCAATCACCGGACAGTCGGCATCATTGGTTTGGGCACAGTTCAGATTGAGCCGGTTCAACTTGGTTTCAACAGATTTGGTTTGCACGATTTAGCCATTTTTGTGGTGAATGCAGCACTTGATGCTTTGTAAAAGGTGTGTGTGTGTCTATTTGTGGTGGTTGATCATCCGGACACAACACCTGTTTTATTGCCGGAAAGGGTTAAAAAACCTATTCTTGAAAAAAAAATCGATGCCGGCCAAGAGGTGACCATAGAGGCGGGAAGTCAGTTCCTCGCTACCGCCATCTCGAACAGCAGCACGCACTCAAGCGGCAGGTTGTGTGCGTGATGAAGGCAGTGGAGGTTTGTCGTTTTTCTCAGTTCAGAACACTTATAGCTCGGGTCGAACAAGTTATATCTACGTTTTGTCAGCATCCAAAATGATGAAAAATAAGAATAGGTTTGACCATTTCTGGCAATAAGGGGCCGTCCATAAATGATGTCACGCGATTTTGGACGAATTTTGACCCCCCCCCCCCCACCTCGTCACACGGCGTCACAAAAAGTCAAATATGACGTCCCCCCCCCTCCCCCAGAAATAAAAAATGCTTCAAATCGCTTTAAACTATTGTCATTGTAGTGCGTATTTAATGTGGCGCTGCACTCCGATGTTGCAGGAGAAAACATTTATTCAAAAGTCTATTTAATTAAGTATAACGTGTTGTCTATATTTATTTAAAGTTGCGCATTTTGATGTGACGTCACATTTCTCAACCCCCCCCCCTCCTCGTCACACATCGTCACAAATGTCTGACCCCCCCCCCAGTTGCGTGACGTCATTTATGGACGGCCCCTAATACAGTTGCATTAAGATATTCAAACACCAGAAAGACGCCTTTTGTAATTAATTAAGTCTGCATCAGCCACACCTACTTGTGGAAAAACATGCAAACAAACATGCTCCGATAATCATAATGTATGAATGGTGCTTGAAACTGATTGGCCTACATCGTAGACAGCCTTCTTTATGGGCTAGCCTCGCCAGCATCAGACCACCTGTTTAATTGCCGCAAAGGGTAGTTGAATAAATCATGCCTTAGTCTCATTTGTCATCATTGAGTTCCCCGTAGTTGGATCGCAAGGGCTGAGGGTGGTGGAGGACTTTGCGCACTTGACGCAGTGGCGGGCGGGGGGAGGGAGTATAGGAGGGGGTTGGGGAAGGGGAATAGAACGGGGGAGAAAAGTGGGAATGGGAGGGGGTAGGGGAGGCGGAAGGGGAGGGGGGAGGGGAAGGGGGGAAGGGGGGTGCTTTGAGATGAAGGTTCCAAAAGATGCAACGCATACGCAGGGGGCAGCTTTGTAAGCGGGGCTGCTGTGGATCTGCACGTGGCAGTCTGCGATCCAACCCAGCACTTGTGGAGGCGAGAGGGTCGGTGGATCGCCACACAAAGATAAAGGCAAAGATCCTCCGTGTAGCCTTAACAGACTGTTGGAGCAAGTGCTTTTTAGCGAGCACCTATGAAGGCCAGAACGGCACAGGAAGGGGGCGGGTAGCCAGCACCACGCCCGACCGCCTTTGTCTCCCTAGCACCACGTCCGTCTTCGGTTGGCGGTCGACGGCGCACCGCGTAGACATTTTCAGTTTTTTCAATTTAATTTATTTGGTATAGCCCTGTGAGCCATTCGGCTCTTGAATCGGGTGCAACCGCAACAACCAAAAACATGAACAAGAACATCGACGGGCGCGACGCGTCCGCAGAGGGTCACCCAACGGGCCTCGCCCTCCAGCTGAGCTCTCGTCACTGAGGGACCGCCGGTCTCCGAACCACCGAGTGCCGAGAAGGCGTAACAATAATAATCAGAACATTTATCCCGGAGAAATCCGATGAGCTGTGAGTTTTATTTATTTTATATTATACCCGTTGTCATTTATATTAACTCATTAATTTCCTCCCCCCCATTCGCACGTGAAGGGCTCACAAGTGACGTCTTCACATCTATTTAAGGAACGAAACAGGATGATTTCTCCACAAATCTGGCTGTCGCCTGATGATGCCGGTTGTAATTACTGGTGAAACGTCGTACTCAGATTGTAAATGTTGTGGATTTACTTTCCAACACACCGGTGTGCTGTATTAGTAACGAATTGGCAAGTTCTGTTCACGTGACAAACTTTGCTAATTGGCTGTGTCGGGTGGTGGCGGGTTTAACGACACATTTATATATTCACGCGATCTAACTAAGAAATACATCTCTATTATGGATAATACTGGTCGCGAAAGCCTCCTACGTGTTAAACCGCTTCTGCTGCTGACATTGACAACAATCTTGTGGAGCAGCGCTTTTGGTTACTGCAGGGATATCTCCGGAGCAATGATCCGTGGTTTGCTTCTCCCGTACAAGCACCCCGTGTCGGTCGCTCGTGCAGCGAGATTCGTCCCCACTCTGTGCCGACTCCAGGGTTTAAAAAAAATCGCCAAAATCACACTGCAAATTACTCAATTGAGATTATACATAACAGGAATCACCCCCACCCCCACACCCCAAGAGGCAAATTGATGCCCCAGGTCACCCTCTTTCAATTGAGATTCATCCTGGTCTCTAGAATTCTCACCGGCCCAAACAAAATCGACTCGAGACGTCCAATCCGTCGCCCCACAGTGCTAATAATTACAGATCTCGTCCTGGGTACCATTCTATCTAAATTTGAAGTTTTCGTGACTGCAGGGATCCATACTCTTTGGTTCTTTCGGTAAAGTCACGTAGGTATAAAATGAAAAGCTATAAAATAAAATAAATTAAATCACGACGTTTCGATCGCAACACAGCAAAGCTGCTGAGGCAGAATGTTTTAAAGGTTTTAAATGGGTGTGGCCCAAGGGTCATAAACGAAGTGGCTGGGGCTAGTGATGTTAAGTGAGAAATTTGCATGTAAATGTAAGATTGGAGAGCTACCTCCACAACGATAAAGCTGCGGAGGTGGCCATTGTATTTTGAGAGATTAGCATGTCAATGCAAGATCGCAGAGCCACCGCCACATAGAAGACAACGATAAACGGTGGCTGTGTTAGTGAGACATTTAACCTGTTAATGTAACACCAGAGTCGAAAATAACTACTAACATCGGAAGGTAGGATGGAAACATCACAGCCAGTTATGACTTAACTAGTTAATAACGTCCTTCCAATGATTGCTCAGGGTACCATTCTCTGCTGGTGCCCTCTCCAATTGTGGCACCGCTTGGCCTCTCAGCTGCAGCTGCAGCGAACATTCAGCCTGACTGCAGCTGAGATTGAAGAAAAGTCGAATAAGTTTCTTGCCGGAAAAATAAAATCCCGTCTGAAAGTTGTGATTGGACCCGAGTTTGTTTCAATGTTTTTCCGGCTTTTATAAACCGGAGCGCTGTGGTTCTGTTTATGGCTATGTGTGTGTGTGGCTATCATGGGGCAAAGTGGGGATGACCCTGCTCAGGCTGCGGTGCCTCAAATATTGGAAGAAGTAGTCACCCCCTGTGGGTGGCTGGCTGAGGTGCCATCTGTTGAGGATGTAGTGAAGGCGATCCAGAATCTGGGACTAAGAAAGGCACCGGCCAGAGATGATCTCCCAAGCGAAATGCTGAAGGAGGGTGGCGTTTGTGCACAGACTTATCTACATGACATAACAACAGTCTGGACCACTTGACAGGTTCAGCAGGATTTGAAGGATGCCCTGGTGGTCCCCCTATTTAAGAAGGGGGACCGCACAGACTGTAACACCTACAGGGGCATCTCACTCCTCAGTGTGCCGGGAAAGGTCCAGGCAAGGATGATTCAACATCGCCTTGCCAGGCACACTGAGGAGAGGCTTGCGGAGCCCCAATATGGTTCTAGGAAAGGGCGGTCCTGCACACATGGCATATTTTCTGTCCATCCACTACAGCAGAGGTGTAGAGAATTCCAACAAGACCTACATCTCTGCTTTATTGACCTGGTCAAGGCCTATGATACCATCAGTAGGTCTGGGCTCTTGGTTGTTCTTCGTGGTTTTGGAGTCCATGACTCTCTGCTCACGATCATTAAGGACCTACATGATGGTGAGCAGGCCCGGGTAAAATTACGTGGCCGGGAGCAGAGCCATTCCCTGTTCACCTTGGGGTGCGACAGGGATGTCCTCTGGCTCCCACATTATTTAACATCTATTTCGACCACATTGATCGTGAAGCCTTCGATAGCTGTACCAGAGGAATTTCCATCTGGTACAGATACAATGTTCTGTATGCCAATGCTGTGTGGAAGCTACCTAGACTGTCGCTCCACACGAATCTTCAGGTCTTCTCGGCCAGTCATGCCCTCCCTTCTCTATGCTTGCGAAACGTGGACCACCTAATGGAACATCGTCGCTGGTTAGAAACATTTAGGCTGGTTTGCTTACCATCCACCCTGGGGTTAACCAGGCTGGATTGTGTGAGGAGCTCACAAATCCTTGAAAGATCTGGACAACGTCCCATCGGTGAGCTCCTCCAGCAGGCAAGGCTACGTTAGCTGTGTCATGTAGCCCACATGTCCAGTCACCGCATGCTTAAACAGCTTTTGTTCGGCCGGATAGAGGGGGCTAAACGGGCTAGAGAAGAGATGGAGTGATGTGATACAGAATGATGTGGAGCTGAGCTGACTTGCCGTTGATTGGTACCAGTAGTGTCAAGATCGGCCTCTGTGAAGGAGGCTCGTGAAGGACAAAACTGGGCAGTTGGAGGCAGTCGCCCTCCAACAACAACGGAGGGCAGAGGAGTGACGCTCACAACAACGAGCGGAGTGCCGGGTGGCTAAAGCACAGCAAGTTGGCACAGTAGGATGCACAGGTGGTGCATCGGCCACTCATCTCAGTCAGTCGACCTGTGGCACCTGGGTCTGCCCCGTGACCTTCTGCCAGCGGGCGTTCGACACTTCACGTGGCCTCAACGTGCACATAGCCTGGGACAAGCGCCGTGGTGACGTCACCGCCACTTAATGGTGAATGCCGGTTGTTGTGGCTATGTGTGTGTGACTATGGGTGTGTGGCAATGTGACTATGTGTGTGTGTTGGGGGAGCGGTTGTGAAACGGTTAGCGCGCTGCGCTACGAACCTGGCCACCCGGGTTCGATTCCCGCTCACGGCCAACACCAGTGACGATTGTCTGAATCGGTCTTGGTCCTCCCCGAGGTCGACTCAGCCGTAAATAAGTGCTTGGTGCGGTGTGTAAACATCAGCGGCCGGACGCGTTTACCGTGGCGGCGTCCACAGGTGCTACCCGCAAACAGCACTTGCACCCAACAGCCAGTTAAGGGTTCGTTGACTTGTGGCTGTGTGCGTGCGTGCTAACCCGCATGCTGTGTGCCTCTAGAAGAGTCGACGCAGGTGAGCGGCGTGAGGGCAGCCGAGGGTTCGTTCCGCATCACGGCCGGAGCCGATTTCATGCCGGCGCTGGGAGACAGCAGCACAGACTCGTTCAAAGTCCTCGCCTACGACATCCAGAGCCTGGTGGAGCAAATCACTCACTAACTCACTAACTCACTCACTCTCTCACTCTCTCACTAACTCACTCTCTCACTAACTCACTCACTCTCTCACTAACTCACTGTCTCACTAACTCACTCACTCTCTCACTCTTTCACTAACTCTCTCACTCTCTCACTACTCACTCACTCTCTCACTCTCTCACCCTCTCACTAATTCACTCTCTCACTAATTCACTCACTCAACTCTCTCACTCACTCTCTCACGATTTAATTCACTCAACTCTCTCACTAACTCACTCCCACTCTCAATTACTCGCTCTCTCACTAACTCACTCTCTCATTAACTCACTCACTAACTTACTTCCTCACTAACTAACTCACTCTTCACTAATTCACTCACTAACTCACTCACTTACTCTCTCACTAACTCACTCACTAACTCACTAACTCACTCTCTCACTCTCTCACTCTCTCACTAACTCACTCTCTCACTCACTCAACGCTCTCACTAACTCACTAACTCACCCATTCTCTCACTCTTTCACTAACTCACTCATTCTCTCACTCTTTCACTAACTCACTCACTCTCTCACTATCTCACTCATTCTCTCACTAACTCACTCACTCTCTCACTAACTCACTGTCTCATTAACTCACTCACTCTCTCACTAACTCCCTAACTCACTCACTCTTTCACTAACTCTCTCACTCTCTCACTAACTCACTCACTCTCTCACCCTCTCACTAACTCACTCTCTCACTAATTCACTCACTCAACTCTCTCACTCACTCTCTCACTAATTAATTCACTCAAATCTCACTAACTCACTCCCTCTCTCACTAACTCACTCACTCTCACTAACTCACTCACTCTCACTAACTCGCCCTCTCACTAACTCACTTTCTCATTAACTCACTCACTCTCTCACTAACTAACTCACTCTTTCACTAATTAACTCACTAACTCTCTCACTAATTCACTCACTAACTCACTCTCTCACTCGCTCACTCGCTCTCTCACTAATTCACTCTCTCACTAACTCACTCACTCACTCTCTCACTAACTCAGTCTCCCTGACTCGCTCTCTCACTATCTCACTAACTCTCTCACTCTGTCACTAACTCACTCACGAACTCTCTCACTCTGTGACTAACTCACTCACTCACTAACTATCTCACTCTGTCACTCTATCAATAACTCACCCACTCTCACTAACTCGCTCTTTCTCTCTCTTTCTCACTAACTCATTTCTCACTCTATCACTCTCTCACTAACTCGCTCTCTCTCTCACTCTGCCTAATAAACTCCTCCACTCTCTGTGCCGTGAACCCGGATTGCAACCCGCGATGTTGTTTAAACTCTGATATCAGTACTACTTCGTGGGAATAGAAAAACGTACGTTCTAAGTGTATCCTGGACTCGTCTTAGGAATGTGGAATTCCCAGCCTATGTTCTGAGCCGGGTAGTCCCGTTTGAGTTGCTAAGTTTGTGTCGTGACAGCCACCCTGTGTGCGCTGCCCTTGTTTGTTTGTTTTGCAGATGGATTCTCTCTATTCCTCCAGCAGCCTCGCCCACCTCTACTCATTCACAAGCGTGAAGGAATTCAAGTAGGACCTGGGATTCATTCGCACGATATTGCAAGACCACGCTGCAAATAATGGCCGCTAACCATCGAACAAAGACGGTTACTGCAACGCGCGGCACTTTCGGATGCCCTTCTGCTGCCGTCTGGAACGCTCTTCCTTCCGATATTAGGAAGTCACTGGAGTTAGGCACTTTAAAATCATCTAGATTGACAAACTCATTTGTTTAAAGCTTATGTTGAACCACAATACCTTGATGATGTCGTCAAGGAGAATAAACCATCACGCAAACTCCGGTCATCTTCGCAGTGGCTTTTGGCCAACCATTGAACAAAGATGGTCACTGCATCACGCACTTTAAGATGCGCTTATGCGGCCGTCTGGAATGCTCTTCCTTCCGATATTAGGAAGTCACTGGAGCTGTGCACTTGTAATTCTGAATTGAAAACTCATTTCAAGGGAACTGCGCTTTGTGTTTAGTGTGATGTCCTTCCCTCCGTACCGCTGATTAGCACGATTGGCTACCAATACACACTCCCAACTGGCAGACTAATGGCCTCTTGCAGGCCAGTTCCTATGTCCCCTTGTGTGCCGCACAGGGACAGCTACCACTAGTGGTGCCCTAGGCTAGAACGCATAACAATCATCAGCCACCCACATTGGCAGATGAATGATCTGTTGCAGACCTGGTGCTTTTGAGATGAGACGCTTATCGCGTGTCTCGCAGAAAATGTTTACTATTTTTTTAAATCAGAAGATCTATAAAGCGCTTACGAGTGCGAGCACGCAGCAGCGTCGGCCAAGCAAACGTGCCCCACCCCCATCATTCGCTCAGACAATGATAGCGACGCACGGCTCTGAGACAGAATCACAATCTGTATTTACACTGGGGGAATCCGATGAGCTATGAAGCTCATTTCGCCGCTGTTCAGTCGGGGCACGGGGTAAGAACGTTACAACAAACACAAAACCAAAACACGATAGGAGTGCAAAGTACAAGAAAGGTAAACAAATCACCCAAACACAGACAAATACAACACTCAACCATCCCCATCCTACCAGACAAAGGCCACTGAGGTATTAACTTATTTTTGAAAAGCGAGTGGCTTATCATTTGGACATTTATAGCAGCAAAATAATCGAAATAGTCTACACGCATTGCTTCAAAATGTGGAGGGAAAACCCGGAGGACCCGGTGAAAAAATCCACTGGCAAGAACATGCAGACTCCAAATAGACAGCAGGCGTCAGTCGGGATCGAACCCCCGACCTCCTGTATACCAGGCGAGGAAGATAGCATCCCACAATTAGACCCACCCCCCACGATTCGTGGTCACGATAACGTTTTTTAAAACTATCTTTACTACCCGGCTTCGCCCGAGACTTGGATTCTTGTCTTGGATTAATACACGGCCTACGCGGAGGGTGGGGGGGGGGATGCGTGACGTCAGCAGGCACACTGCGTGACGCTGCCGCATGCGGGAAGCATCACAGATGTGACGTCACCGCTCAGTTGCCGTGCAAAATATATCGTAGCGTTCTGCGGTACGTGGTGTGTCAGATCACTTTATTCGGGGAAGGAAGGGGAGAGAGAGAGGGCAGTAAGTGTCATTTTAAGGTCAGTCAAGTAAACTCAAGGTCGCTGGAGTGGCATTAACGAGGGGGCCCCAGATCTGGGTGAACTCCCCTTCGCTATTGCTCAGTTTCAGACTCATGTGTTCGAAAGCTGCTCGGGCGAATCGGGACTTATATTATGAATCGATTTTAATTTATTTGTTGTCAACGTTAATAAAGAGCGTTTAGCCAGGGTGAGATCTCACGTGACCAGTATAGAGTCTCGGGCTCCACCTAAAACAAGCCTCACCGCAGACACATTGACTGAGGGCATCGCTGAGACCCGAATTGGGAGCGATACAGCTCCAACCTCGTCTCCTGCCACCTGCCCCCGTAGGAGTCCAATCGACTGCACTCGCGAAGCCTGGGCAAATACCAGCCTGCTGCAGAAATCCATCGTCAGGGATCCCCACAATCCTCCAACCAGGATCTGACTTAGCCGAGGAAGATCTTGGGTCCTCCTCGGATCGGATCCGGACACTCCGTGGAATGATGTGGGACAACTTTCTCCCTGAAATGGAAAATTAACGAGATATCCAGTTTGTGATTGTGGTTGTGGTAGTCCAACATCTCAGTTTAGTTTCGGTTTATTTTGTGAGCCAAGAAGCTCCTAATTTGGGTTTCATCAACAACAACAACACTGCCGCTTCTCCAACAAATGCATCAAAAACGTTGATTATGAAATGCATCAAGTCGCACTAAAATAAACCATCTATATTTACCTTAAATAAAAAATTAAGTTAAATATAGATTATCATCAAATATAGCATGCTGTATCGCAAAAATATATAGTAATTTTAATCTGCCATAGTAATTATAATGCAGATACAGCCACAAACACGATGGCGTTAGAGTGAGGAATAAAAGAACGTAAAATCCATCTCAGACCCGTGCGACATATCATGAACGGGCTGCCCCAATCAGAGCATTCAACGGCGATCTGAAACAAATCCATGCGGCTACACCTGAAGCAGTCGGATGGATATAAAATATCGATTCGTAATCTCGTCGAAATCGCCAAAAGTGGCGTACTTCAGAAGACGCGTACAGTGCGTAATACTTACTAATGTTATAATTACAAAAAAATATTTTCATTAAATAATGTTGACCACCTGCATTATTGTTAGCAACTATTACTGATACATCAATGGAGTCCTGATGTATTTTGCTAACGTAAGGGTACAACGACCCCTTTTAGCGGCGATTCGGTTTGTGCTCACTTCAACTTGTAGAGCCACTGTCGCTACTGCAAAACGTCGGTTCACTCGCATAGGCATGAGCAGGGGTGGGGAACCTTTTTTTCTGCCAAGGGCCATTTGGATATTTATAACATCATTCGCGGCCATACAAAATTATCAACTCAAAAATTAGCCTGTTATATTTGGTCAAACATTTAACTAACTCGCCCCTAATGTGATGGCTGGAACTGATTTTCTTTGGCGAGGCATGTGATGTTAGCTGGTATTGACGATGTTGCTACTCGCAACTGCTTTTCCAGGTTTGCTCCTAGATTTATTGAATTTCTAGTCCCGCCTGCGGTTGCCTTGGAAGGGCCAGACCAAATGATTTCGCGGGCCTTATACGGCCTGCGGGCCGGACGTTCCCCACCCCTGGAATAGAGAGAGAGAGAGGATGACTCGGATGCCCGGCCACACAATGAGCTGGCGTGACCAACAATTGTCCAAGCTTTGCGGTCCCCTGTATATATTGAGGTGCTATCAGCCAATGAATGAGTATTTATACGTGTCGAATGAGACTGGAACACCCGCGAAAAACCCACGCATACGAGGGGGCAACACTCTATCCCATAACAGATAGAACAGGTGGAGTGCACGGTTCTTTTTTAAATCCTTTATATTAAGTTCGCTTGCTTGCTTGCTTGCGTGCTTGCTTACGACCGTGCAAATTTTTCCGTCGTGTTTTAACCCACTTTCCCGTGATCCAATGGAGCTGACATTTTGCACACAGACTCGTTGTGCGAGACAATTAATGTTCGTGACCCATAGGTGGCAGCCATCTCAAGCCAGAGGACGAGAGGACTCTAGCCGCCACGCATATAAAGGATTTAGAGTGAAAAACTTTGTTTTTACGGGTTATACTTATTGCTGCACCACCTTCTCCTGCAAAGTCTGGCTATACGGCTCCTCCTCGACGCACAAGGGGACGGAGTTCCGGTGATCCACCAACCTTCACTGCTGCCTCCACAGTGCTGGATTACAGCTGCCGCCACGAATAATTGTTGATTATGTGGGCGTGTTGAGTAAATGTAACCGGGAGGTTCTCGCTGTGGGTTTCTCGCTGTAGGAATGGCAGCGTGATCGTGGCCTTTCTGCTCAACTTCCACTCTGCGGTGACGCAGAGTGTCGCCCTGGAGGCACGGAAAGTGCTGATGAACGCCCTGGCCGGTGACGCCGTGAACGCGCAGCACGGCACACTGGGGCGTTTCAGCATCGAGTTGGCGAGCGTTGACATCAGTGGTGAGGCTGAGCAGCGATGTTTACCCAAAATTAACATGTCTTTTGATGTGACATTCTAAACCATAGTTAACACATATCTATAGCAATACAGTTGATAAACAATACGATTATCTGTACAGTACTTGTGTTGACTTTAACATTATCATTATACACCAGTTTCCCCCATTTTCTAGGCACTCTTTAGGCCCAAACATCAGAATTATTCTTCCTTGAGAAAAACCTCGTGTCTCTCCGTCCACACGGTTAATTTCGTCACAAACGTTCTTCCCCTCGTGACCCGTTACGCAATATGGGTTGTACCATTTCAGTGCCATTGATTAGGGGGGTTTATGGGTCAAACCATTCCCGTTTCACACTTATATCGACATAGTATTTACACGAATCTTCAGAACAAATCCCATTTTTCCACAGTTGGATGGGCACAAACATCCCAAGTGCCTTGAGTTTCAGCGAGGCTTTCCTGTGTAAGCAAAGAACACGTTCATATTTGGATAGCTCAGTGATAACAGTTTTTTTTGTTGTGTTGCCTATATTCTCCCCTTTTTGTACGTGGGTTTCATCTGGGTTCTCCAGTTTCCTACCTTAACTAAAAAAATCCTCCCCCCCCCCCCCAATGTAGCTGATCTTGTCCAAAACATGCCAATGCTGATAAATTACCTGCAAATTACTCAGTTACACGCAGCAGCAACATCTTCCCCTGCTGAGAAACACTTGGCAGGAACTTCCCTCCTTAAAGAGAGTGTTGGAACTCTGTGAGGCTTTTCCTACGGAAACAAGCAGAATAGTAATTGTGTTTCATCATGACCCACTGTGTGATTGTCTGTGTGTGCAGTGCCCATCCTGATGACTACCCACACACCCGTCACCATGACGACCACCACTACCCGTATACCCATTACCACGACGACCACCACTATCCACACACCCGTCACCACGACGACCACCACTACCCACACACCCGTCACCACGGCAATCACCGCTACTCACACACCCGTCACCATGACGGCCACCACCACTGCAAGTGACCTCTCATCGGATTCTGTGAGCACGACAGGTGAGTGGCACGTGGGTGGCAAGTGAGTGGCAGGTGAGTGACACGTGAGTGGCACGTGCTAGTCCAAGCTCAGTGACGTCATGGCCCAAATCAGACATATTTTAGGCAATGGCTCATTCCTGAATAGCACAGCGACCGAGGCCACATGCCTTCACAGGCAGTGTGCGATCCGGTATGTTTACGACGTAGACTTGTGGACAGGGCCTCTCTCGGCCTTCCTCGCGAGGCAATCAACGCTTTGGAATCGTGCCCTCTAGATCTGAATGGGATTGCTGCTCGCGCGCACAATTAAAAACTAAACAAAATGGATACCCTGGCACAGCTGGAGTGATTGTTGCATAGTCGGGGAGGGCGTGTGGTAAAGATGCCTTACGTAGGGGCGACAAGGATTTTTCATTAGTCCTGGTGATCACGCGTGGTTTGTCTGTTGAGCTGCAGACACCACCAGCAAGGAGGGTAAATGATCATCACTCGAACTCCGACCATCCTCGCAGCAGCAGCAGCGGTTTTCGGCTGTTGGGGCAAGTGCTGTTAGCGAGTAGCAGCACCCATGAAGGGCGGCACGGCACACGAGAGGGCAGGTGGCCAGCACGACGCCCGGCCGCCTTTGTCTCCCGCCTGGAGATGTTTACACCAAGGCCGTAATTATAATATGTATTGGGGGGGACACATCCCCCCCAATGTTCAAATATGCTCAAAATATCCCCCCCAATATATTGCTATAAAATAGATTTCTGTTTATGTGATCGTGCTTATGGTTGTACTTTATTAATCCCTAATCTCTGCCATTACATACAATAAAACAAGAAAAGGTAAAAAAGAAAAAACAGAGCAATGTAATACAATAAACTATAAGACATTATTGTTAAAAATAAAAAAGTCAATCCTATGTGTTGGTGAATTTTGTAATATTTTAGGCAGGAGATTCGTCTTCAAATTTAGATTTTTTTTCTGGGGGGGGGACCCCAGACCGCCTGGAAGATTTGGTCCCCCTCAATGTTGACTCCATGGCTACGGCCTTGGTTTACACACTGCACCAGGTACTTATTTGAGGCTGAGGCCCAGGACCTGTTCAGACAATCGTCACTGGTGTTGACCGTGAGCGGGGAATCGAGCTGGAGCCGCTGGCTTCGTAGTTCGTCAAGGAGCGAGAACCAACACGGGAACTCCAGCAGCAGCGGCTCAGCCGTCAATCAAAGACAGTCATCGTATCGCCCGCTTTCACGTCCGCTTCTGCGGCCGTCTGGAACGCTCTTTCTTCCGATGTTAGGAAGCTGCTGGAGCTGTGTCCACTTTTAAACCGTCTAGAGCGACAAACTCACTTCTTTGGAACTGCTTCGTGCGTTTGGTTTGTTGTCCTTCCACCCCGCACCTCCGATTAGCGCTGTTGACCACGTACGGTGCGAAAGAAGTTCAACATAGACACATACAGCGAGCAGCAGCAGGGCTTCAGGGTGTCCCATAAGTCTGGAATCATAGAAAAATAATACAAAAAAGGCAATAATAACGCTGTTATTCACAGAACGTGCTCAATTTGTCCAATATTGTTCCTGAATTATCTGGACTCGTTCTTCCTCACTCAGAGACATCTTGGGCCTGCAAAAACAAACACATTTGAATCCGTTATTTTCCCTACGATTCCAGATTCATGGGACACCCTGTAAAGGGGGCGCCAGTCTGCACCTCAACCTGAGCAGGGCTGATGGCGCCATTCCCTGTGAGCTCCAGGGTGAGAAAGGCTTTTTTCTCAACCCACGAAGCACCCTCACCCCATCCCATCCGAGACATTGGGTGAGCAGCTCCTTTCGGTAAGACGGAGCGAGGCCATTCAGAGCCCTACAAAGTCAAATTGAAGTCTCCGATTAGCCCAACCGAGTTGGCTTGTCATCGGCGTGGACATTTAGAGCAGCCAAACACTCCGAACGCGTGGATGTTGATTCTAAATGTAGAGGGGGGGAAACTGAAGGATCTGGAGAAAAATCCACGCCACCACAGGGAGAGAGAAAGACACCGCAAACTCCCAATATACTGCAGGCGTCGGGGTAGGGATTGAACCCACCTCAAATGTGTACCTGGTGTGGTATGTAAGCATCAACACTGGGGAGACAAAGGCAGCCTGGTACGGTGTTGACACACGCCAAAACCCCTCGCGTGCCATGCTTGTCTTAGAGGCCGTCCATTAATAACGTCACGAGATTTTGGACGATTTTTGACGATTTTTGACCCCCCCCCCCCATCGTCACACGGCGTCACAAAAAGTCAGACCCCCCTCAAATATGACGTCACAAAGCTCTGACCCCCTCCCCCTCCCAAAAAAAATAAACATGCTTCAAATCGCTTTAAACTATTGCCATTGTAGTGCGTATTTAATGTGGCGCTGCACTCTGATGTTGTAGGAGAAAACATTTATTAAAAAGTCTATTTAATTAAGTAAAACGTTTATTTATTTAAAGTTGCGCATTTTGATGTGACGTCACATTTCCGACCCACCCCCCTAGGTGCGTGACGTCATTTATGGACGGCCCCTTAACAGTTGATCGCCAAACAGCATGTACCCCCAACAGTCTGTTGACGGCTAACACGGGATCTTTGTCTCCCTGCCACCAACCCCCTCTCACCCGCCTCTACCCCCCCCCCACCCCCAGGCCCGCTGTGTGACCCTTCGAGCTTCTTCCAGTGCAGGGATGGCATCTGCGTGCCGCTCGCCACGCGCTGCGACGGCCTCCGTGACTGCGCCGATGCGGGAGACGAGGAGGGGTGTGGTGAGAACTCCTCTCTCTCCCCTCCTCTCTCTCATCTCTCTCATCTCATCTCTCTCCTCTCCATTTTTTTACGATCAGAGGAAACAAGAAGATGCTCGGTGTAGTCGGCAGTTTTCTTCGTTCATCATTTCGTAATTTTTTTTTTACTTTGCTTTATGTAAACCCCCACCTCTCGATCACTCTCTCGCTCACTCTCTCGGTCACTCTCTCGCTCACTCTCTCGGTCACTCTCTCGGTCACTCTCTCGCTCTCTCTCGTTCTGCACGCAGCCCTTCTCGCAGTCCGACGGCCTCCGACGGGTAGCTCATATCAGCATGCAGAGCTCCCCGTCATCTGCAACCGAGCACACGGCCTCCTCCATCAGCCCACTGCTCCTTGAAGGCCGGTAAGGCGTGGGTCAGCCGCGCATGGCGGAACTCCAGCCACACCCTGGCTCCGACCAGAGCGCGGAAGATGCCAACGCTGCTGGCTGGACGTTTCCCCTCCAGGGCCACCTTCCTCGCCCTGTAAATGGCGAGCTTGGCATAGCCGACGAGCACGTTGACCAGCCCCTGAATATGTTGGGGTCCGTCGCCCTTTTGGTATCCAAAGATGAGGATCGTCGGGGAGAAGTGGAGGCTGAACCTTAGGAGGATGTTTTTGAGGACCTTGAACAACAAGTCCAGGCTCTTGCACTCCACGCATTGGTGCACCACCGTCTCCACTTTACCGCAGAACCGGCACTCTGGGGACGTGTCGGTGAAGGGCGCCAGTGAGGCGTTGGTGGTGATGGTGCCGTGGGCGATGCTCCAGCTGAGGTCGCCGATGCGGTTGTACGTCGGGCTGGAGTAGAGTTGCCTCCAGCGAGGCCTCTCCGGAGAGATGCAGGGCAGGGCTTTACTCCAGGCATGGTCCTTGTGGTTCCTCAGGGTGTCCTGTTGGTGAAACCGGACCATGTAGGAGTAGTGCACCTTCCTCTTTACATTTGCGAAGGCCACCTCCGGTAGGTTTTCCAGCCGGCACAGGTTGTGATCCGCCTTCGCTTGTCGGCATTGGCGATGCAGTGGCACGGCGGAGAGTTCCGGTGGAGGGGGACCGAGAGAGGCCTCGTCATCCCCAACTCCGATGGGGGGCGTTCACCCCGCTGCCACTGAGAAGGCTCTCTTGGCTTCGGCCAGGATCCGGGCAGCCACCCGGAGCGACTGCAGCCCTGTCTTTGCGGCCATGTCTGTTGGTCCGAGCCACCAGCCCCGTGTTCCAGGCTCCACCAGATCTCCCATCCTGGTGAGCCGCGCATTGGTGAGGCGCCTCTCCATGCCGGGAGTGGCAGTGGTGGATGGCAGCTTTGTCTGCGGGTTCCTGAGGATCGGTTCGAACACCAGATCTTCGGCCGATCGCGGTTGGTTCAGCCTCCTGACGACGAGGGAGCTCCATGTCTGCAGGACGCTCCTGTAGAAAGGTGGCAGCTGTCCCAGTGGGAGGCCCTGCAGGTCCAAGTAGAATAGTTGTTTGGAGCACTGCAGACCCCCCAGCTGTTTCAGGAGGAAGGAGGCCATGACGCTCCAGGCCGGTGCAGGAGCGGCGTGCAGGAACTTTTGTGCAGCTGCAGTCTCTCTCCCCTCCTGCCTCGTGATGGGTCCTGTGAGGTCCCCAGGTCCACAATGTGAGCGACAGTGATCACCACGAGTTGGTTGTCTGACGGAGCCGCTCTCCACTGAGCCAGGGCATCACGCAGGGCCCTACACGGAATTTAGCGACTGACATCCCCTTTCATCTGGCCACATTCCTAAGAGGGCATCCCCAATGTTAGCTGTCCCTGCGTGGCACAAGGACATTGTTGGTGGCCAGCTTCTCGGTCAAGAACTTCTCCAGCGTATCGGGATCCTTGGATGAAATGCACGTTGCAAAAGTAAACTATTGTTATTATTATGATGAACCTGTCCTGTGAGCAGAGGGGCATTACTCTGCCAGTAGGGGATGCGATGATTGTTGCCGCGGTCATCCCAATTGAGTCAGTTGTTGTTGTTGTTGTTTGTGTTCAACTGGTACTAGTGTGCATGTTCTCGTGTTTGTGTATTTAGTGTCCAGGTGCGACGACAAGTTCCTCTTGAATGAGACATCGGGAAGCTTCCATTCCAAAAACTTCCCAGACAGCTACCCCATCGGCATCGTGTGCCACTGGATCGTGAGGTGCGTGACTCCGCGCGCGCGACTCCCACCCAGCGGCACAGAAGCGGGAGACGAAGCCTCCGGTGGATACCCGGGTGGCTCAGAGGTCAAAGACACGGAGCCGCCATGAACATATAAATAGAAATATCGCAAATTATAAGTATTAATGACATTTTATTAACTAATTATAATATGTATTATTTCTGAAGCATTGTTCGTACGTGTAGACGATGTGAAGACTTTCACAGCCAAGTTAGGGATAGCAACTTGGAGGTTGGGAACAGGAGGAGGTAGTGATGGGTGGGACACGGTGTGTGCAGGGTGGAGGAGATCAGGGTTAGCAACTTTGGAGGCGTGATATGTGGTGTAGATCACGTTATGGATAAGAGCAGTTACATGTGACAGGAATGCCCCATGTAATAACAATGACCGTATTAATTTGTTTGTAGGCACGTATGTATGTTAAACTTCTTCAGAAGCACCGTGCATAGCCAACCGTGCCAATCGGAGGTGCCCGCCCTCCTAAATGCTGGGGCATCTCGGAGCACTTGACACGTGATGAGGAGTGACTTGCGTCCTCACATCTCAGCGCGTGTGAGAGGGCACCCTCAGTGGCAGCTGTACCTGTGCGACAAAAGATGTCTCAGGAAAGTCTGCCAGTGGGGGGGGGGGGGGGCAATGATTGCTGCTGTGAGGTCTAGCCTAGGGCACCCCCCCCCGGTGGCAGCTGTCCCTGTGTGGCACAAGGTGACTCAGCGCCTGGCCTGCAAGCGGGCACGAGTCGATAAGTAGGGTGACGATGGTTGCTGCTGCTGCATGTGTAATTCCAAGGTGGGGTATATTCTGCGGTGTTGTTTTTCTCACCTGACACATTTGGACCGTGACGTCGGTGCGCAATAACCGTCTCGTTTCGAATGACACCACGGGGTCTAAGGCTTCAGCGGCGAGCGAGGCAGGCGGTGCGTAGTTGTACTCTGCGGTTGACGAGCACCGCGGCATGATAACCAGGACGGGGACTGCCAGATTCCCACTGAAAGCCCCCGCGGTAAACGACAAACGCGCTTACTGCTGGGTCGCAGATTGCATGGCGCATTGTCGCGTGTCGCGGGGTGTCACCGTGCATCACCGCGCATCACCATGTGTAACCACGTGTCACTGCATGTCACCGCACGTCATCACGCGTCACCAGGTGTCACCGCACGTCACCGCGTGTGTCACAGAGCGCCGCAGGGTGAAGCCATCGAGATTCGCTTCGTGGAGTTTAATCTCGAGGCGGAGGGAGCCGTGTTCATCCCCTACGCTGGGCTGGGCAGCGACAAGCAGCGCACCGGTGAGTTGGAAACCCGCCAGCATTATCATCATCAGCAGCAGCATCAGCAGCAGCAGCAGCATCGTCAGCACCATCATCAGCTGCAGTAGCAGCAGCTTAAAACAGCAAATGTAAAATGATAAACTCGCAAGCAGTGTGCGACTGTGGTCATCCAGAAACAGATCGCACAACGTATAACAACGCAATGCCCCGACCCACAAATATGAAGAAGCAAACATCACAGCGATAATGATGATGTACTGCTACTCCGCTACTGCTCCTACTGACGCGGTTGTCTGGGCTTGACCACCTGAATGTGAAATTGTTGTCGTCTCTGCGTCTACATCGGCCGTACGGAAGAAGCAGCATCATCATTATCATTACTGGCAGCAGTGGCAGCAGTGTCGGAGTCATCGTCAGCGTTATCATCGGCATCATCATGAACAGCAGCGGCAACATCGTCATAAACAAAAAAAATGCAAACCGAGCGGAAATTAAACGTGGAGGGCGTTTTTTTTGTAGACGCTGGAGACGTTTGTGAAGGCGATCGTTCCACTCCGTACAGCGGAGAGATGCAATAGCCGAGGCGTGTAGCCACTGGACTATGTCCGGTGGTGTTTGCGGCGTCCCTATCTTTGCAATTCCTGATACGGCCTACAAGCCCGGGTGTGGTAAGTGTGTGACCGCATTGACTCGCTGGTATGCGACTGATAGGTGAGATGATTGTGGAGTGTAATTCCCGGCAAAGTGAGATTGCCAAAGCTATCTAAACATGGCCTCGGACTTTGAGGGGTTGATGTCTAGGTTGTTTAGCATGAGCCGGTGCTGTAGACCTCACGTACATTCTGAGAGTGAGTTTATTGTGCAAGGGAGTTTGCGAGCTTGCTTGCCAGCGATAGCCTACCCATCAACCAAGACTTCACCAATGTCCCTTGCTGGCAACTCGAGTCCCAGCCCCCCTTCTGGGATCGCGCTGCTGCTGTCACCATCCCAGAGTCCCACGCAGATCTGGAAGAACGCCGATCGTGAACAGAGTGGAACAACGCGGACGTCCAGGATAAACGCCTCCTGATCAGGGACCCGAACATCGTCGCACATCCTGGCTTTGACATTCCCCCTCAGAGACACACCAGCGGTGGAACCATCAGCCGCATCAGGACATCAACAACAGGCCGATGCACACATCTCCTTCACGAATAGACAGTTAAAGTCACCAGTCACAGTAGCGTGATTGTAACCACGCAACCCAAGCTATGGACCATACAGTAAACCCATAAAGACACACAGAGATCGATAGAGACACACAAAGATCTATAGAGACACGCAGAGAGCCATAGAGACGCACAGATATCCATAGAGACACACAGAGATCCATAACGACACACAAGAGATCCATGGAGACACACGGAGATCCATAGAGACACACAGAGATCCATAGAGACACACAGAGATCCATAGAGACACACGGAGATCCATAGAGATACACGGCGATCCATAGAGATACACAGAGATCCATAGAGACACACGGAGATCCATAGAGACACATGGAGATCCATAGAGACACACAGATATCCATAGAGGCACACAGAGATCCATAGAGACACACAGAGATCCATAGAGACACAGAGATATATAGAGACACATAAAGATCTATATAGATACGCAGGGATCCATAGAGATGCATTAAAGAAGCAGGTCAGTGTGATTTTAGCCGTGCAACCCAAGATATGGACCCATATACCAAACCACTGTAGTCTGCGCTCTTTCAATGGAGGAGGAGCAACAGCAAAACGACACCGTGGCGAGATGTTAACTACCTCGCCTGGTATACATGAAGTCGTGGGTTAGATCTTGACGCATGCTGTATATTCCAAGTTTGCGTGTCTCTCTCCCCGTGGTCGCGTGGAATTTTCTCCAGAAACGCGCGTTCATAGTATTTGGGTGTTCTACATTTCCACGTGATGATGAGCCACTTGGTTGAGGTATCATTTGTGGCCAGGTAGCTTCTGAAACAAGAGCTAAATAGCTCAGTGGGCCTTACCTGGCAAAACAAAAAAAATGTTTATAGTTTGTAATAAACACGAACTCTGTCTTTCCTGAAGCCCTCTTGTTGTGGCCAGCAGCAACAGACCTCCACATTTGCGTTTAGCTACTGAACACAATGCCACATGCAAGAGTATAATTTATGGAAAATGTGCACATTTAACTGGTTTAAACACGTCTTTTTTGTCAAACTGTTTAACCATTACCAAATCTTCCAAAACCAAGTTGAACCGGTTCAACCTGAACACGTGCCACAACCAATTATGCCGACTATCCGGTGATTGAGCAGCACAACTCACAAAACCACGACAGCGAGCGACTCAGCAAGGACAGCCACGCCAAGCCCCAGGACTCCTATCGGGGAGGTCCTGCTACATGGGGACGTTTGGACAATACGGGGTCACACTGTGCGTTAATCAGAATCAGTATTTATACTGGAGGAATGCGATGAGCTAAAAAGCTCTTTTCACAGATGTCCAGTTAGGGGCACGGGGTAATAACGTTGCAAAACACTATAGTCGTGCAAAGTACAAGAACAGTAAACAAATCACCCAAACACATAAAAGGCATAAAGTCTGCATTAACCATATATACGTGTGGCAAAACATGCAAACAAACATGGCTCTGATAATATTTGGCATTGGCTTTGAAACTGATTGGCCTATACCAGAGACAGCAGCCTTCTCCATGGCCTTGCCTCGCCACCATCGTTCGACCAGAGAACGCCAAAAGGCGACCAATATAAAGACAACGCAAGTCACCGGGAACACTCCCAGCTCGTGTCGAGCTGTTATATCTGTGGGATACATTTTGCCGTGTTGAGGGTGAGTAGGCCTCCTCTGAATTGGTGGATTGGGCAGACGTCTAGGATGTGGTGCATGGTTTTCTCCACCCACAGGCACATAGGGGGCTTGGTCTTATACCCCATCGGTGGAGGTTGACGAGGAATGGGCCATGACCAGTCCTGATCCTGTTGAGGATATACCACTCCTTCCTGAGGAAGTTGAAACTAGGTGGCTGGTGTGTGGGGGTATGGCACTGTGAGTAGTGTATTATTGAGTGGTATGTTAGTGTGAGTCTTGTTGTATTGAGCGGTGTGGTACTGCGCTGAGTGGCGTTGCACTCACCACTGTTCTGCTGCCGTGTGTGTGCTGCGCGGAGCAGAGCGCTACACGGGCTTCGCCGACCCGGGCTCCGTGCGCATCCTCCACAGCGACGCCACCATCGTCTTCTCCTCGCTGGAGGGCAACGTCCCCAACCAGGGCTTCAACGCCACCTACACCATATTCCGGCTGGACGTCCTCACTGGTCGGTAACTGTCACTGCCACCAATCAATCCCAAGTGTGAATCAGTGAATGTGGCTGCTACCTGTCCCAGGTTTGAACCGGTGACTGTGGCTGTCACCCGTCCCAAGTTTGACGTGGACAGTCCAGGGGCATGGCCTCTATGTTTGGGCGGCAGCAATTGATTTGCGGTTTGATACACTCGGTATTGGCGCCGTCATTCTTTACAGTGCAGTGCGATGATCACGCGGGAAGGCGCCACACTGCTGCGTTTCACAGCCAGAGTCTGCGCTAGTTTCACAGGAAGGGCGTGATGATTGCTCATGTACTGTATGTATGTATGTTGGAACTTCTTTCGTATCGTACATCGCCAACCATTCTAATCGGAGGTGCACTGGAAGGACAACAAACACGTAACATGGGTAATGTGCAGCTCAACTATTTTTTTCAGTATTGGGATGTCTGGCCAATACCCGTGACATTGTGCGTGTGTATTCTCAGCTGTGGGAGGAAACCAGCGAACATGGAGAAAACCCACGAAAAATGGGTGGGGGGGGGATATATATAAAAACTCTACACATTCACTCACACACTCAAACTATCAAGCACTAACACACACGCTGCACAACAGGGGGGAGTGAACATACAAACTCTGCACATTCACTCACACTATAAAATATAAAAAAGACAAAGATCCCCCGTATAGCCTTAACAGATTGTAGGGGGCAAGTGCTGTTAGCGAGCACCTATAAAGGCCGGCACGGCACTCGAGGGGGTGGGTGGCCAACACCACGCCCGGCCGCCTTTGTCTCCCTAGTGACGATATTTACACATTGCACCAGGTACTCATTTGAAGCTGAGTCGACCTAGGGGAGGCCCAGGACCGGTTCAGATAATCGTCACTGGTGTTGGTCGTGAGCGGGAAACGAACCCGTGTCGTCAGGTTCAATTCCCAGCGCGCTAACCGCGACACTACCGCTCCCCACACTATCAAGCACTTGCACACACACTGCACAACAAACAGGGGGTAGAGAACATGCAAACTGCACGCGGAAAGGCGCCCGAGTCGGGAATCGAACCCGGGCCCCTGCCCGGGTTCCATGAGGCACGAGTGTTATGCCACTGCACGGGCACCCTGCATGACTCATGCGCGTGATCAATTGAACCTCCCCAACCTACTCCATAGATTACCAGAAGATAAACTGCACCTTTGAGGACGGCCTGTGCTACTGGCAGCAGCTGGTGCCCCAGGACAACAAATGGAACCGGCAGACCCGGCCGGGGTTCCCCGGCTTCGCTGGACCCCCACAGGACCACACCACAGGCGCAGGTTCACAAACCCCTCTTTCTCCCGCTCGGCTGCCCGACTCCCCTCTCTCGCGTGCTTTAGCAAAAGCAAATTCGCGGAATCGATCGCAGCTCATCTTCCGCTCGCTCTACTCCTGCACGCAGAGAACCATCTGCTGTCCTTGCGACTGGTGACGTGTTCATGAGCTAGAATGCCCCAATGTCCGAGGTCTGTTCGCCACGACAAGAGGGCTTCAGCAAAGATAGAGAGAGAGATATTATTTGGGTCTTTCGGTAAAGTCACGTAGATAGGTTCAAAGAAAATAAAACAAACTACGACGTTTCGATCTGAAGGCGTTTCGATCTGAAGGCAAAATGTTTATAAAGGTTTGGGGATGGGCGGCATACAGGGTCATGGGCAGTGCACCACTGCCAATGCAGCAACAATGACAATGCCGCACTACTGCCAACGCAGCAGCTATGTTAATGTGAGATATTAGGACGTTAATGTAAGATTGCAGAGCTTCCGCCACGTCGGCGCACAAGGTGGCTGTGTTAGTGTGATAACTTTTTTTTTACCTGTTAATATAAAGTCAGAGAGCCTAAAATAACAATTAACATCGGAAGGTAGGATGGAAACATCACAGCCAGTTATGAATTAAACTGGTTAAGAACGTCCTTCCAATGATTGCTCAGTTTGTACCCATCTTCTCGGTTGAAATTGTGTCCGTGTTTATATATCTGGATGGCTTTATGAACGAATCTTTGTTGATAGCCAGTGGGTTTGCAAAGTACCTTCGTCTTGAAGAAACACATTTCGTGTGAGCTCACCGCATTAAATCAATGATCAGCCACAGCAGAGGTATTGGTCCTCCCGTGTTTCAGATCTGCCTTATGTTCACGAACACGGTCCGAGACATGTCGCTTAGTTTCCCAAATGTAACTACTGCTGCAGACACAGCTTATTTATTTTGTAGACGCCGGAGTATTGCCTGTCAGGGAGCACATCCTTCAGAGATGGGATCAGATCACGAATTATATGTGCTGTGTTAAATCGAACCTGGATCGTGTGTTTGCTCATTATTTTGGATATATTTTTGATGACTCCTGCTATGTATTGCAAGGTGATGGTTTTGATTGGGTCCTCAGATGGTTCTTTCCCAACCGTTGGGGTGATAGCTTTACGGATTGTGTAGTCTGAATATCCATTCATCTTGAGGGCTTGGTGTACATGTTTCGGTTCACTGGCTAGGTGATGATGGTCGAAAATACATCGAGCTCTATGGTGTAGAGTTTTTATGAGGGAATTCTTCTGGGATGGATGGTGGTGGGAGTCAGGTTTTAGGTAGGCATCCGTATGGGTGGCTTTCCTTTAGACAGTGTCCAATTGAGCCATCTGGTCTCTTTTCGATTAAAACATCCAAGAATGGTAACTTTCCATCCTTTTCCACCTCCATGGTGAATTTGATGGCTGGGTATATGGAATAGATGTGGCTGAGCAATTGGTTCAGAGCTGATCAGCCATATGGCCAGATGATGAACGTGTCATCTACGTAACAATCCGTAAGAAAGATCAAGAAAGCACTTAACAAGGCAAGGGATGACAATAAAATGGCGAGAGGGAACAAGATGGAGGAGAGAAAAAAAATTCATAACTCAAGCAAAACAACACAACACACAGGGACATTCCCATCAGCGGAATCTTAAGCATTTAGACCGAGTTCGCGACGACGGAGACGGTCTTCATCTCCTTCACAGGGGGTGTGCACACCACTGGAACCCCCAGAGAAGTAGGTTGCAACATCGGCTTCACAGGTGTTGCAGGCTCGGCGGCAGCAGGCAACTCCTCGCGTTCGGTGAGGCTTTGAAGTCCTTCAGCTGTCATGGGCTCGGAAGCTGTGGGCGGCATGACACAATCCTTCTGACGTATGCCCTCTGCCAGCACTTGCCTCGGCTCGTCGGACACAACAGACAGCCCAAGGAAGAACAAACGGTTTTAACCACGACAAATGGACAAACCAACGGCGATGGGCCACTCGTACATGCACACACTGCGGCCGTTTGACCTCGATCACTTCCATGGGACCCTGCCAAGGCTTATGCAACTTAGAGGACGTACCTACTGGCAACTGCGGGCAATGCAACCATGTCCTGTCACCTATGGACCATGGCAGTACGTGATCCCGTTTCCCTACTTTCGCTCGCTAGCCACCTGTACTTTGACGGTGTTCAATTTGGCTGCTTCCCGAGCCGCCAAAATGCGTTCCAGCGTAATTTGCATGTGCACAGGCAATTTGGAATTCCCCTTTTCCTTCGACGAACCCAATTGAGCGTCTATAGCAGTTACATTTTTCCTCCCATACATGAGAAAAAACGGCGAAAATCCCGTGGAAGCATGGGGGCCATTCCATACGCGGCCAATGGACTCGGAAAATGCAAATCCCAATCCGTTTGCGACACGCTAACTGCCTGACAGAGCATGGATGTCAGAGTCCTATTCAGCCGCTCCACCACCCCATCTGTCTGCGGATGATATGGCGACGTTCTAATTTTCTTAGTGCCCAACGCGTCGCAGACGTGGCGCAGCAGCTTCGACGAGAAATTCTGCCACTGGTCAGTGAGCAGCTGCTCAGGTGCCCCTTTGCCCATTACGTATCCATACAAAAACGCCTCAGCAATTCAAGCTGCTGACTGGTCAGGCAACGGCCAAGCCATAGGTTATCGTGAGAAATACTCAACACCCACCAAAGGAAATCTATTCCCTCTTGGAGTGGCCGGAAAGGGCCCAAGGATATCGAGCGCTACAAACTCGTTAATCGGTGAAACCGAAATGGATTGCAGCGGAGGCTGGGACTTCCTCAGCGGCGGTTTCCTACGCGCACACTCCATGCACCCTTGGACCAAGTGGTACACATCACTTGACATACCCGGCCAATAATAATCACGCTGCAGTGTTAGCAACGTCTTCCGGACCCCAAGATGCAACAACTTATCCTCGTGCACCACTTGAATCAATTTACCTCGAAGAGCAGTGGGGACGACAAGACGACAACGGTATAACATATCCTCCCTCAACATCAACAGGTCATCCTGAAGGACCATTCGCGGTCCGTCAGCAGGCGCAGAAGCTTTTTGGTCCAATTCCGTGCGACGCCGCAAGGCCGTTAGGGACATATCCTCCAATTGCTCTCGAACCCATTCAGAGCGCGTAAGGTGCAAAACACTATCAGCAGGTGCAAACACCTCGGCGGGCTCTGTGTCCTTGAACGCTGCCATGATGGTAGCTGATCTCATCGTCGGAGGTTTACAACGGCCCGCACCGGACGAACATGCACAGCTCGACGATTGAGGCAGACGGGACAACGCGTCAACATTGCAATGCCGCACCCCTTTTCGATATATGACGCGGAACGAGTATTCCTGCAGAATTTTAAGCCAATGTGAAAGTTGGCCAGAAGATTGATCAACCTTCAAGGAGTACTGAAGAGCCGCGTGATCTGTTGAAGGTGCGCTGTGTAAACATCGCCATTGGGGAGACAAAGGCGGTCAGCCGGGCGTGGTGCTGGTCACCCACTCCCTCATGTGCCGTGCCGGCCTTCATAGGTGTTCTCTAACAGCACTTGCCCTAACAGTCTGTTAAGGCTATAAGGGGGAACTGTGTCTTTATCTTTGTCATTCGCTTAGGGTATTACATCTTGGCCAAGATGCCCATGTCCATGTCTGAGATTGTCATGTGGAGTTTGGAGCTCGAGTCCAGCAATGGGCCCTACTGCCTGCGATTCTGGTGAGGCTGTTTACCCCCCTGCTACACAGAATTAATTAGCCAAATTAGTAAATATAATATATTAATAATTATATTACATCCTGATTTTATCCCCGAAATGACTAACATTTAACAATGAGCTTACGAGTGCTGACTTTAACACATAGTAGTAGTCGTAGGCCTTCGCGACCAATATTATACATAATAGAGGTATTTTGGGTTAGATCACCCGATGATGCTGGATGTAATTACTCAGCGAAATGTCATGGTACTCAAATTGTAAATGTTGTGGGTTTATTCTCCGGCTTACGCGCACTTTCCGCCATATCGCACTGCATATTTTCAGCTTTCGTTACCGAAGTTATTAGTTGTGAAAATGTATATACGTGCAGTATTGTCATTGTTCAAGTTGTTGCGTGTAGTTTATGATTTATATATATAAAAGGGAAATTGGTGAATGTGTCTGTTCAAAATGTTTTGCATACTTCCCGACATGCAACAAACTTGAAATTTGGCATGTGGGTAGCTTCCAGACTGTACACAATGCAAAAAATATAAAAATAGACTTTGTATTTTGGGGGGGGGGCGCAATAAGGGATATATTTTGCACGGCAAGTGAGCGGTGACGTCACATCTGTGATGTCACCCGCATGCGGCAGCGTCACGGAGTGTGCCTGCTGACGTCACGCAACCCCCCCCCGCCAACCCTCCGCATAGGCCGTGCATTAATCCAAGACAAGAAGCCGGGTAGTAAAGCTAGTTGTATATATTTGACACTGAATTCAAGCGTAGCTCCTTGTTTCGTCACGCACGTGGTGCTGCCGATCGCCGGGCTGGTCACAGCATTCGCAGCGGTTTTTCTGACGATTGCCCGATTGCATGCCATTTAGTTTATCTTTGACGGATCAGGCCCGGGATCACCGGATAATGTTGGAAAGCCGAATAATCGCATGCCTTGACAACCGATGATCAACTGCATTTCGAATTTGGCAAATCTGGACCGCGACTCGTGTGCGAATGACGTCGTGGGATCTGTGTTAACATCCGCGGTGAGTTAAGCGGGCGGCACGCGCGAGTTGCAAACATTTGACGGTGAATACCGCACACTCCAAAACCAGCGGTTTCTTAACATTTACCGCCAGGCTTGCAGCCCTTTGGTTCTCAATCGTTAAACAAATGCACTACTTTAATAAACACATTGGGTTTGATGGAACGAAGTTAGTTGCAACTTACGTGCCCATGCTTAATGTTTGTGTTGTCGATGATTTACCTTATATATATAAATAAAAAAGCTGGCCGTGTCTCGCACCCCCAAAAAGGGAATCTCGCACCCCCTGAGGGTGCAGCGTGCACCCCAGGTTAAGAGCCACTGGTGCTAAACCGCAGTATTAACCGGGATGGCCTGTCGGAGATGAGCCACGCTGGGCCCCCGCCTCTGCACCGCCACCCCCAACCCCACTGCGATCTTCGCACCTGATAGGCTCACAGTGACATCACATTTAGCCCCTCTTTATTTAAGGCCGGAAACGGAGGAAGCCTTCTTCACGATTTCTGGCAAAAATCGCCCGACGAAGCCGCTGGTGGTTGTCGTAATTGCCAGCGAAATGATGCACAGCACTCGAATTGTAAATGTTTTTTTACTCTCCAATACGCAACCGGTTAGTGCTGAAGTATAAATAACTAATTGGCACGTTTTGTTTCCGTGACAACCCTTTACTAACTGGCTGTGGTGGCAGTGGCATTTATATTTACTCAATCTAACCCTAAAAAACCTTTTATAAATAACTAGCTTTACCACCCGGATTCGCCCGACAATTGGATGCTTGTCTTGGATTAATACACGGCCTACGCGGAGGGTGGGGGGGGGGCGTGACGTCAGCAGGCACACTGCGTGACGCTGCCCGATGCGGATGAGATCACAGACGTGACGTCACCGCTCACTTGCCGTGCAAAATATATCCATTATTGCGCCCCCCCCCCCCCCCCTTAAATCCAAAAGTCTATTTTTATACTTTTTGCATTGTGTACAGTCTGGAAGCTACCCACATGTCAAGTTTGTTGCATGTCGGGAAGTATACTAAACATTTCGAACAGACACACATATTCACAAATTTCCCTTTTATATATACTGTATAGAAGATAGTGCTCACAAAGGCAGCCTACTGCTACGTGTTAAACAGATCGAGGGTGCTGACCGCGTCTCTCCGCCAGGTACTACATGTTCCAGGGCCAGCAGAGTCCGCTGTCGGTGCAGACCCGGAGCGCATTCGGAGAGGCTCCCCGTGACGTCTGGACTCAGATGGACGACCATGGGCAAGTCTGGGTTCCCGGTCACGTCACCCTCAATGAGTCTACCCCTTTCCAGGTGTCTCTTTCTCACATCCTCAGTGCTGTGTCTCTCTCTAGCTCAGGTGCCTATGGGGCTGTGAATCAGGTCTGCTCTCCCTCCCTCTCTCTCTTTTTTTACATTTTCCCGCGTTTTAATTTGGTAGAAATTCATAATCCACAATGTAACTTGAACGCGTGAAAACAAAACGCGTAACAAGGTTACATTAAAGTACACAAAATATCGACCATAAATACAGAGAACGCACAGGGCAGTCGTGTGGTTGCTGATGATAACTATTAGGAGCAGAGCGATTATCTCGCCGGCAATCCACTCAATTAACGCGATTCGATTATATATATATTTTTACAATGTGATGAACGTAGCGGCATCTAGCAAATACAGGGAGATGATCACGTGAACCTATGACATGTATGTAGGAATCTAAAACACCTCGATTCTTACACACGTTATTCGATCAAATGAATCGCACGTTTAGAGAACCGATCATGAATCGATGCATAATGACAACCCATAACCATCACGCTTTGGAAAAAGCGGCTCAGGGTTGCCACCCGTCTTGGTTTTCCCAGGATCGTCCTCGTTTTGAGGTGGCTGTCCTAGAAAATGTCTGCGTCTTCCCATGACATTATTAGTCCCAGAATATTAGCAGTTGTGCAATATTAGGGCCCGTCCATAAATGACGTCACGCGATTTTGGACGATTTTGATCCCCCCCCCCCCTTCGTCACACGGCGTCACAAAAAGTCTGACCCCCCCTCAAATATGACTTCACAAAGCTCTGCCCCCCCCCCCCCCCAGAAATAAAACATGCTTCAAATCGCTATAAACTATTGCCATTGTAATGCGTATTTAATTTGACGCTGCACTCTGACGTTGCAGGAGAAAACGTTTATTTAAAAGTCTATTTAATTAAGTAGAACGTGTTGTCGATATTTATTTAAAGTTGCGCATTTTGATTTGACGTCACATCTCTCACCCCCCCTCGTCACAAGTGTCTACCTACCCCCCCCCCCCCCAGGGTGCGTGACGTCATTTATGGCCGGCCCCTTACACCACTCACATAGTTCTCCCCTCTTCCGAAATTGTGAAATATTCTGCTTCCCATGATAGGTCCCGGTTTTTTTTTAATTCTCAGGTTGCAGCCCAGCGCACGTCCGTGTCTGTCCCCATCGTTCAAGTTGCCGCACAGCCAAACCCCGAGATCGGCGCATCCTCAAGCGCCAAACTACTGGAGTTAGGGGCCGTCCATAAATGACGTCACACACCTGGGGGCGGGGGGGGTCAGACATTTGTGACGATGTGTGACGAGGGGGCGGGGGTTTAGAAGTGTGACGTCACGTGAAAATGCGCAACTTTAAATAAATATAGACAACAGGCTGCTACTACGACGTGTTAGACTCAGCCCAAAGTTCTTCGCCAGCTCCCTAATCAGCACGTCATGCCGCCACCGCCAACCGCTCAACTCAGAAACTCAGCCGGCTTCTTGGGCCACGCTTTTTTCTGCGGTTTCTTTGCGCAACTCGGAGCCGAGCGATAGCGGCCACGCCTTGACCAGACCGCCCGGAGGTCTGGTCATGTGTGTGTGTGTGGTGTGTGTGTGTACGTTGAATTCTTTCGCACCGTACGTGGCCATCGGAGGTGCGGGGAACGGACAGCAAATTAAACACAACAAGCAGTTTTAAAGAAATTGTGGTGTTGTGTAGTGTAGCGTATCGTAATGTAGTGTATAGTGTAGTGCATAGTAGTGCATAGTGTAGTGTATAGTAGTGTATAATAGTGTCTGTTGAACTTCTTTCGCACCATACATAGACAACTGTACTAATCATCGAACAAACACAGTCACTGCATCGTGCACTTTCAGATGTGCTTCTGCAGCCATTTGGAATGCTCTTCCTTCTCGATATTAGGAAACCGCTGGATCTATCCACTTTTAGATCATCATCGAGATTGACAAACTCATTTCCTTAGAGCTGCTTTTCACGTTTAGTTTGTTGTCCTTCCCCTCCGCACCTCCGATTAGCGCTGTTGGCGAAAAAATGTCAGCGTCCACGTGTACATCACGAGTTGGGTGCGACGTCAGACTAATTCAAAACTGGCGACCAAAATAGTCATAGTTTTGTAATTGCTTTGGCACAAACGGAAGAGGCTTCCTCAGCCCACTGGGACTGTCCCAGCCCTGTCGGGACGTTCAGAGGCCTATGCCGCTACGGTGATTTGGTGCCGCTACGGTGATGTGGTGCCACCAAGGCGCCGCAGTGGCCAGATTTTAAGTACCTCGCCTTTACCCGTGGGTTGAGCCCACCAAAACCCTTTAGAAACTCTTGTTGCAGCAGCTCTTTCTCCTATGTCAGCAGTTCACCTGCTGTATCTGTTCCACCTGATGACGGTCGCTTGTGTTGCGATCGAAACGTCGTGATCTATTATTTTTCTACCTACGTGACTTTACCGAAAGAACCAAAGAGTTTGGTATACAGGAGTTTGTGAGTTCAAACCCAACCCCTGACGCCTGCTGTATATTTGGAGTTTACTGTTCTCCCCTTTCATTTGTGGCAGCCAGGTCGCTTCTGAGTAAAGAGGATGTTTAGTTTAAATTGTTTATAGTGTGCACTGCGCTATGAACCTGGAAACCCGGGATCGATTCCCGCTCACGGCCAACACCAGTGACGATTATCTGAACCGGTACTGGGTCTCACCTAGGTCGACTCAGCCTCAAACAAGTACCTGGTATGTGTAAACATCGTCGCTGGGGAGACAAAGGCAGCGTGGTGCTGGCCACCCAGCCCCTCGTGTGTCAAAGTACTGGCCTTCATAGGTGCTGCTCCTCGCTAACAGCACTTGCTCCAACAGTTTGTTAAGGCTATACGAGGGGGGGGGGCGGAATCGTTATCTTTGTTTAACTGCCGCCTGACCGCCCACCCGCGTGCCTCCCGCAGGTTCTGTTCGTGGTGCAGACGCGGAGACGAAACCCCCACGTGGCACTCGACGACATCGCCCTGGAGGCGGCCCAGTGCCCCGAGGGGCCCGACGCCGGCCCCACAAAGGAGCCGCTGCTGCCCAGTGAGCGACCCGCGCAGAACCTCGTGGATTGCTCGACCAGCCGGGGAGGGAGGGGGCTGCCGCTGTATTGATGATTTGTTTTGTTTGTTTTCTTAACGGTGAGACGGCCGATAGAGACCTCTTGAGCTGGGAGGGTTGGGAAGGAACTTTGAATGGCGGCCCTCGTGGCTCGGAGGATCACTCTGAGCTAAAACTAAATTGTTTCTTGCTGTGGTTGTCCCACCTGATGACGGACGCTTGTGTTGCGCCCGAAACGTCGTGATTTATATATTTTATACCTACGTGACTTTACCGAAAGAACCAAAGAGGATGGATCCCTGCAGTCACGAAAACTTCACATCTAGATTAGTAAACGATTGTTCTTGTTACCAGGTAAGGCCCCACACTGAGCTACGTGGCTCTTTTTCAGAAGTGACCTGGCGATCACAAATAATTGTTCAACGAAGGGGCTCTTGATCACAGTGAAATTTAAAGCGGCTAAAGACTCTTAAACGCATGACGTTGATTCGAAATGTGGAGCGAGATACCTGAGGACCCGGAGGAAAAACACCACGCGACCACAGGAAGTAAGACACGCAAACTCCAAATATACAGCTGGCTTCAGGATCGGAGTTGAGCCCACGACCTCCTGTAGAACAGGCGAGGAAGTTACCACCTCGCCACCGTGGTAAGAGCCACTGAGATGGAGAGCTCTTTTTCAGAATCAACCTGGCGACAAATGATTGCTCATCTACGTGGATCATGGTCACGTAGAAGTGTACAGCAGAAGTCAAATCCTCGAAACGGACAGCAGCATGAGGCTGGCACCACTGAGATCTCGAGTTCGAATTCAGGATTCACCAGCCACCTGTGATTAAACCGAGTTCTCAAGCTTTGTCAGTTGATATCCATAGACTCACACAGAGACCCATAGACTCACACAGAGCCCCACAGACTCACACAGAGATCCATAGACTCACATAGAGACCCATAGACTCACGTAGAGACACATAGACTCACACAGAGACCCATAGACTCACACAGAGCCCCACAGACTCACACAGAGATCCATAGACTCACCTAGAGACCCATAGACTCACATAGAGACACATAGACTCACACAGATACCCATAGACTCACACAGAGACCCATAGACTCACGTAGAGACCCATAGACTCACGTAGAGACCCATAAACTCACGTAGAGACCCATAGACTCGACTCACAGAAACCCATAGACTCGCGAGTTCTCAAGCTTTGTCAGTTGATAGACTCACATAGAGACCCATAGACTCACACAGAGACACATAGACTCACACAGAGACCCATAGACTCACACAGAGATGTATAGACTCATGCATAGACCCACAGACTCACACAGAGACACATAGACTCACACAGAGACACATAGACTCACACAGAGACCCATAGACTAATGTAGAGACCCATAGACTCACAGAGAGACCCACAGACTCACACAGAGACCCATAGACGCACACAGTGATTGGTTTGTCATTAAACCAGGTGCTCAAGTGTCGTGAGTCGATGGTCTCAACTTGACCACAAATGACTTACATTTATATCCATAGATTCACGTAGAGACCCATAGACTCGACTCACAGAAACCCATAGACTCACACAGAGACCCATAGACTCACGTAGAGACCCATAGACTCACGTAGAGACCCATAGACTCACGTAGAACCCAATAGACTCACACAGAGACCCATAGACTCACACAGAGACCCATAGACTCACACAGACACCCATAGACTCACACAGAGACCCATCGACTCACGTAGAGACCCATAGACTCAAACAGAGACCCATAGACTCATGTAGAGACCCATAGACTCACACAGAGACCCATAGACTCACACAGAGACCCATAGACTCACACAGGGATCCATAGGCTCCAACAGAGACCCATAGACTCACACAGAGACCCATAGACTCATGTAGAGACCCATAGGCTCACACAGAGACTCATAAACTCACACAGAGACCCATAGACTCACGTAGAGACCCATAGACTCACACATAGACCCATAGACTCACACAGAGACCCATAGACTCACGTAGAGAGCCATAGACTCACACAGAGACCCATAGACTCACACCGAGACCCATAGACTCAAACAGACACCCATAGACTCACACAGAGACCCATCGACTCACGTAGAGACCCATGAACTCAAACAGAGACCCATAGACTCACGTAGAGACCCATAGGCTCACACAGAGACCCACAGACTCACACAGACACCCATAGACTCACACAGAGACCCATCGACTCACGTAGAGACCCATATACTCGCACAAAGATCCATAGACTCACGTAGAGACCCATAGACTCACACAGAGACCCATAGACTCACACAGAGACCCATCGACTCACGTAGAGACCCATAGACTCCAACAGAGACCCATAGACTCACGTAGAGACCCATAGGCTCACACAGAGACCCATAGATTCACACAGAGACACATAGACTCACACAGAGACCCATAGACTCACACAGGGACTAGGTTGTGATTAAACTGGGTGCTCAAGTCTAGTGAGATGATGGTCTTTAGCCCGGTACAACACTTATTTGTGCTAAATTTTATCTCTTGAAATAAAAGTGCAAGGACTCCTCTACTACGAGTTAGGTTCCAGACGTTTGTTCGTCAGTTGATTTGTTCATAAGTCACAACTTTACTCCTGTCAATTCCAAACAGGTTGTAGACTAAACACGGGGAATGACTTTAAAAGTTGTCTAATCTCTTGTAGATGCCGCTGGTTCTTCACGTTCTGCAGATGTAGATGCCACCAGCACAATCTATTGCGTGGCAGTTGAACGTACGACTCTCGGTCCTACCGGGCAATTGGACTTACGGATGGGTTTGTTTGTATCTCTGAAAGATCGTGAGTCGATGTGTTCGTAAGTAAAGGAGTCCCTGTATCAGTTATGATTGTAAGGCTATGACCACTATTCAGTCACAGAGCGTGTGTTGCTGGATGGGAGATTCCAACCCCCTTCATTCTGTGGGCCAAATTTTACTTGTGGAAGGGGATCTCAGAGGTAGTTCTTTGATATCCACTTCCATGGTCTGTTCTCTAACTCAGACTCTGTGTGTTGCTGGACTCTGTTTTGCTGGTGGACTCTGTGTTGATTGTTGACTGTGGACTGTGTGTGCCTTAGAGGACTGTGGTGGACCTACGTGGCTCCGAGAACCAAATTCGACATTCACCTCCCCCAACTACCCTGGCCCCTACATCAGCGAAGCGCACTGTGAGTTTCCCCCTCCCCTCCTCCCCTCCCTCTCTCCCTCCCATCCCTCTCTCCCTCCCCCCCACACAGAGTCCACCAGCAACACACAGAGTCCGAGTTTAAGAGAACACACCCTGGAGGTGGATATCACAGAACTGCCTCTGATATCCCTTTACTGTTTACTTTTTGGCGCTCTCTGGTCCAACAGCGGTGAGACTAGGCCATAAATAAGGATGTCCCTGGTGTAGGCCAATCAGTTTCAAATACAATGCATACATTATTATCAGGGCATGTTTGTTTGCATGTTCACCGCAAGTATGTGCGGTTAATGCAGATTTGATTGCCTGCGAAAGGTATTGATTTTGTGTTTGAACATCTTAACACCTTCTGCTTTATTGCCAGCTAGGGTGTAACCTATTCTTATTTTTCAAATTCGAAAAAATACGTCGCAAATTACTAAAATTGGGATGACACAGAACAGCAATATCGCCCGGTGCCGTGAATCTCCTGCAGACTGCGTCTGTGAAACGTAGCGGTGAACGACGGTGGCCAATATCCATACCTCCAATTGGCACGGTTGGCAATGTACAGTGCAAAAGAAGTTCAACATACATACGGTACGGCGGAGCTGTTCCCTGTAGCCAGTGTTCAAATACAAAGTCCTATTTTCGGGAACTCAAGTGTTCGTGTAAACTGCGGACAAAAGTTCAGATTGTAATTTCCACCGCAGGGCTCAGAGGTGCTCATTGAGGTGAACCCCTGGCTCTGGGCATTTTGAGTAGGGAGACACTCTGCCAGGTTGAGGTCTGCCTGCAGGGGATGGGAGAACAACACAGACAAAATAGCTGCCACACCTTCCAGTAGTTTCAGGAATTCTGTCCCATTGTCCCCCAAAAGCTTTTGCAAAAGTCAGAATCGAGTTCTGAGTTAAAACGGGGCGGGGTTACTTGAGTAGCGGGCGGGGGCTACCTGATCAGTGGGCGGGGCTACTTGATCAGTGGGCGGGGCTACCTGATCAGTGGGCGGGGCTACTTGATCAGTGGGCGGGGCTACTTGGCACTTGATCAGTGGGCGGGGCTACCTGGAATAATTTGTCAATGTGGGATTGCAAACAGCAGCAACAACATCTCCCCCTGCTGTGAAAACCTGGCAGGACCCTCTTTTAAAAGAGAGTCTTGAAATTCGGGTGAAATTTTCCTGAGCAAATGAGTGAAATGATAATAATCATACAGTAGACTCCAGATTATCCGCGTGCGGTTTATACGATTTGCAGATTACCACGCAGCTGAGATTTTGACATACATTAATAACTCATGGATTTTCCCTTAAGCCCAAATTAATCATCTAAAATCAGTAATACATTGTTCTTCTGGGAAATGTTTATTACAAGTCAAGTGCTTAAACCGAACAAATATGTGTGCTCCAGTTAATCCAAAATCCACGTGATCACCTCGAAAGTGCAGTAGTTACATATGTTTACAACGGTGGGCGGAGTTTTGTTGATTTTGATTGGCGTGACTCTGCTCCCATCCACTTAGTGGGCGGACTCTTCTGCATGGGAGCAGGAAAGTGTCATCACTGAGAATGCAGAAAATTTATATTTTTGGATTATCCCCTAACCCTAACCCTAACTAACCCTAACCCTTACCCGTTATTAGCGCCGATAATCCATAGTCCACTGTAGTACCGCACTGCTGTGGAATGTGGAATGGTTTCCCCGCACCCGCAGGCATGTGGCTCATCATCGCCGACGATGGCAACAACGTCCAACTACACTTCACGGAGTTTGCGCTGGAACAGGGTTTCGACTTCGTGGAGGTCAGGGGTGGATATGGCTACGAGGCCAACTCCACCTTCATCGGTAAGGCGCACCGCTCGTCGCTAAGGCCCAACTGCTCGTCAGTAAGCCTCACCACTCGTCAGTAATCCTCACCACTCGTCAGTAAGGCCCGCCGCTCATCGCTAAGGCTCACCACTCGTCAGTAAGCCTCACCGCTCGTCGGTAAGGCTCACCGCTCGTCGGTAAGGCCCACCGCTCGTCAGTAAGCCTCACCGCTCGTCGGTAAGGCCCACCGCTCGTTGGTAGGGTCCACTGCTTGTGGGTAAGGACCACCGCTCCTCGAGCCGTTTTGCCCGGCGATTTTACGACGAATGTTGCAAGGTGTGCGCGTGTGAGCACAGCGATAACATATTTAACTCTGGCTGTCGCCTGATGATACTGGTTGTAATTACTGCCAAAACGTCGGACTAGAATTTTGAATGTTGTGGGTTTACTCTCCCAACATACAGGTGTGCTGTACTAATAAAGAATTGGCATGTTTTGTTTACGTGACAAACCTTACTAATTGGCTGTGTCGGGTGGTGGCGGGTTAAATGACATTCATATTTACGCGATCTAACCCAAAACACTATTATGGATCTTCATTTGCACTCACACACTAAACTGAACTATTTTTATTTTACCTGGTAAGGCCCAACTGAGCTATATCGCTCTTCTTCAGAAGCGACCTGGCTATCACAAATGAAAGCTCAACTAATTGGCTTATCGTGTGGAAAATTTTGCAGCAGCCAAATACTCTAAAACGCACGTTTCTAAAAGTGTCGGGGAAAAATCAGAGGCCCCGGAGAAAAATCCACGCGACCACGCGGAGAGAAACATGCAAATTACAAATATGCATCAGGCATCAGGGTCCAGATCGAACCCACAACCTCCTGCATACCAGGCGAGGTCGTTAACATATCCTAGCCACCGTGGCGAACCTAAACATCGATATAAAACAAAAACATCGATGCTGCAGATACCGAGTGTCCTGAGGGATATTGCACAACCAGTGGCGGCTCCTGCAAAATCTCTCAGGGGGGGGAAATGTCTGGATGATTGATAAGGATAAGGTCCACCCATGCAATGAATAAATTAACAGCTTAAGCATGTAAAAGCAACTTCACTTCTTTAATATTAATTAAAAATAAAGTGACTCTTACAATACATCTTGTTTGTTTATATACTCACTATTAAAACAAACCACTCAAGTTTATTTTATTAAAGATTCCACTAGGTAGCGATAAATTATATTGTTGGATGAAACGTGCTTACGTATGATGACGTTAGCACATATGATGACGTAAGCACGTATGATGACGTAAGCACGTTAGGGCGAGCCCTCCCGGAAGCCATAGATAATGCATTGGAGCGCCCCCGTTCGAAAAAAAACATCTTTCAATGTAAGTCTATGGGACCACTCGGGGCGATTCTCAGCCATAGTGAAATCGCCCCAAAAGAGGCGGTACTCCACAGAACGTGACATGACGCTGATTGGACTATATCCAGAGGCTGACAGTGACGGCTAGCGTGACTCTGTGGTTGAATGACATTGGTGGTGCGTCGCCCAATCGCCCTAATGAAGAAACCGCCCCTGTGCACAACTAACAAACGAGGTTTTTAACGGTTTGTAAACGAATGCGATTAACAAAAAGAGCATAACGTGGGAAGAGAAAGAGGCGGCAGAAAAAAGATGTTCAGGACAGGTGCAAGTCAGCCCCGCATTTTTACTCGAATAGGGACAACAGACAGAATGAAAATACGGCGTCTTATACTCCAGGAATCCGATGAGCTATGAAGCTATTTTTCATAGATGTCCAGGAGACTAGGGGAGATAAGGGGCGGAGGGTGAAGGGAGGGAACGAAGCTGTGGATGAGCGACAGTGGTAGTCCAGAAACGTGGTAGATGTCGTCACTTTTTATATATTTTTTATTATATATATTAACAACACGTTTATATTTATGCGATCTAAACGAAAAACCTCTGTTATTGATAGACTAAAATGTTATGTGCACGTGGGAGGAGAATCGGAGCACCTGGAGTAAGGGGCATGCGCGTGAGTACGCAACGCTCTTATCCCACACGGGTGGAATGGACGGGGATTGGCAAGTTTAAGTGGAAAATTCAAGGAGCAAGCCACGGCAGTGCGATTGTGACCACGCAACCCAAACTCTGGACCATAGTAAAACCAGAGACCCACAGAGATCCATCGAGATGCACAGATCCATTGAGACGCACAGATCCATAGAGATACACAGAGATCCATAGAGATACACAGATCCATAGAGACGCACAGAGATCCATATAGACGCACAGAGATTAATGGATACGCACAGACATCCATGGAAGCGCACATATCTATAGAGAAACACAGATCCATAGAGATGCACAGACATCCAAAGAGACACACAAAGGCCCACAGAGACGCACATAGATCCATAGAGATGCACAAAGATCCATGGAAGCACACAGAGATCTATAGAGATGCATTAAAGACACAAGCCACAGTGAGATTGTGGCCACACAACCCAATAGCAACACTATCACGGAGCCCTCTCGTGCCTCGCAGACTTTACCATTGGCATTTAGATCCTGAACGTATCGCTGCCAATATGCAAGAGGGGAGTCGAAACGGATGGAGTTTAGTCCACATTGTTGTTGAAGCACCTCCCGCGAAACCAGTTTACGAGCACCTCCTTGACGCCCACATATAGATCCACCGACCCGCAGCGCTGAGATTACAGGCCCACCGTGCGTAGCCACCGCCACCCGGCTGAGCGACTGGCAGCGTTGCAGGGGTCCAGGCGAGGGCTCAACCCGTCCACAAAGCATCTCGGGAACGCGCGGTGTTCAATTCAACTTGCGTACAGCTCGTGACTGGCTTCGAACGGAGATCGTCGTCTGTCCGTCTGCCCTATGTGCGTCCGTCCATCGCGGACGTGAGCAGGCCGCTTCACGGGCGCGGGCCCAGGAGGCGACCTCTTCTCGCCCTCCAGCCTCATGTCGGTCATCTTCCTGAGCGACGAGACCAACACCGCGAGGGGCTTCCACGCCAACTTCACGACGGGCTTTCGCCTGGGCCTGCCGCGTGAGTTCCTGCGGCGAGCGGGCGAGCCCAATGCCCCACGGTCGCTCGTAGCTCAGCGAGACGCATACACCTGGACCCTGGGCTTGAACCCAGGATCGTCATCAGTACTGGCGCATTGCCTCGGACGCGCTGGCCATTAATAGGCCCCCTAGAGAACAGGTGGGGGGGGGAGAATCTGCGGCCCTTTGGACCGCAGACTTAAATGCCACACGGTCCGTGGCCAAGCGAGGTGCGGCGATTATAAATGGCCCCGCTAACGCTACGCGTCCCACCATCGCCGCTGCTTGCATCTTAGCCGCACCGATGGGGTGCCAGAGGAGGGGGGGGGGGGTGGGACATTCGACCTGGAAACATGCATCGTGTGATGCTGTCACGGGATGGAGTAATTCTACGCTCGGGGTATATTATTAAACGAAAGATTGTTGTTATTTTACCGGGTAAGGCCCAATACAATAAGTATGTTGGGACTTCTTTCGCACTGTACGCGGCCAACCTCCTGTTAGCACGGTCGGCTTACGTGCTGGTGCCAAAGAAGTTGGTCAACGCGCGTACGAATCGCAACTTCGCCACGTGTGCCGATGCTGCCACGCGATGCGCTGCAGGTGTGTGCCTCTGTGTGTGTGTGTGCCTCTGTGTGTGTGTGCGCTCTGTGTGTGTGTGTGCCTCTGTGTGTGTGTGTGCGCTCTGTGTGTGTGTGTGCTCTGTGTGTGTGCGCTCTGTGTGTGTGTGTGCGCTCTGTGTGTGTGTGCGATCTGGGTGTGTGTGTGCCTCTGTGTGTGTGTGCGCTCTGTGTGTGTGTGCACTCTCTGTGTGTGTGCCTCTGTGTGTGCCTCTGTGTGTATGTGCCTCTGTGTGTGTGTGCGCTCTGTGTGCGCTCTCTGTGTGTGTGCCTCTGTGTGTGTGTGCGCTCTGTGTGTGTGTGTGCCTCTGTGTGTGTGCGGTCTGTGTGTGTGTGCGGTCTGTGTGGGTGTGCGCATGCTTAACTCTCTGTGTGTATGTGTGCGCTCTGTGTGTGTGTGCGCTCTGTGTGTGTGCGCTCTCTGTGTGTGTGCCTCTGTGTGTGTGCGCTCTCTGTGTGTGTGCGCTCTGTGTGTGTGTGTGTGCGCTCTGTGTGTGTGCGCTCTCTGTGTGTGTGCCTCTGTGTGTGTGCGCTCTATGTGTGTGCGCTCTCTGTGTATGTGCGCTCCCTGTGTGTGTGTGCGCTCTCTGTGTGCGCGCTTAGCCCTGTGCTCGGAGGGCGAGTTCCAGTGCCGAGTGGGCGGCTGCGTGAGCGCGGCGTCCGTGTGCAATGGCAGCTGGGAGTGCGGCGACGGATCCGAGGAGAGAGGCTGCGGTGAGCGCCGCTCCGCACCGAGACTCCCCCATCGCACGCCGAGGGGTGGTGGGGGTGGTGGTGGGGGCCACAGCGGGGGGGGACACGGGTGCCTCGCGACCAACCCTAAACCCTAACCCGGTGTTCATTTCTCTCAACTTATGAGCAAAAAAAACCGATTGACACTACTCTGCCTCTTTATATACACTGTTGCTTATCCTTGCCATGTGGATATATTTATTCAAGAAAATATCTTGGTTACATTTGGTGTCATACAACCAACAAAACATGGTCACATTTCTTTCGTAGGCCCCTTTTAGTTTCCGTAGGCCCTATGCACAGTGCCTACCGTGGCCTATTGGCAAATACGGCCCTGGTGGGGGTGTGGGCGAGTGAGTGAGTGGGTCAATGAGTGTGTGTGGCTTCAGCTATGGAAGGAAACCAGAGCACCCAGAGGAAACCCCATCGCAGGACAGGAGGAGAAAATACAAACTCCACACAGATATAGCCGCCAATGTCGGGAATCGAACCCAGGGGTTCATGCCGTGAGGTGCATCACCACTGCGGCGCTGCCCTGCCACACGTGCTGTGCTGTCTATCCGCACCCACTAGTCTGTCTGCACACCCGCGTGTCTGTTTGAACACCCGCGTGTCCGTCTGTCTGCGTGCGCCAGTCCGTCTGCTGGACCTCTCTGTGCCGCCCCCCAACGCGACCGCCCGCGGCGTGCCCCAGCTGTGGACGCAGCGCGACGCCGCCTGGGGGAGCGCGTGCGCGGACACGTGGAGCCGGAGCCTCTCCAACCACACCTGCGTCTCCCTGCACTACCCGTGAGAGACGGGGGAGGGGGGGGGTTTGGGGGGCCTGGGGGGCGGGAGGGAAAGGCGGAGACTGGGGCGGGGGGGGGGCTTTGGGGGGCTTGGGGGGGGCGGGGGAAGGCGGAGAGACTGGGGGGCTAGGGGGGTGAGGGAGGCAGAGGCCGGGGGGGGGGGGGTGGCCGGGACGGATGGCTGCTGCCTAAGAAACTTTTTATTTTGACCTTGTCAAGGATCGATAGGCTAGGACCCCGGGTTGTTGCTGTTGGGGTCCCTGACCCGCTGCTCGCAACTCATTCAAGGGCCTTCGTGACGGTGGGCAGGCCCGGATAAAGCCACGGAGACATTTCCTGTTCACCTTGGGTTGCGACAGGGATGGCCTTTGGCCCCACATACTGAACATCTTCTTTGTCACTCGCACACTCTCTCACGCACTAAACTACTTTTTTATTTGACCAAGTAAAAGCCCACTGTGCTTTACAGCTCTTTTTCAGAAGCGACCTGGCTATCATAAATTATATAGCTCAATTAAGTGGCTTATCATCATCGCGTGGGAATTCATAGCAGCAGCCAAAGACTCTAAACGCGTGGTGACGTTGATTCTAAATGTGGAAGGGAAAAACCAGAGGGCCCGGAGAAAAATTCACGCGACCATGGGGAGAGAGAGACCACCATCTCCAAATATACAGCAGCAGACGTCAGGTTCGGGATCTGACTCACGACGACCTGTATACCAGGCGAGGGAGTTAACATCTCCCAGCCGTGATGATGATGAGAGAGAGAGAGACACAAACTCCAAATACACAGCAGGCGTCAGGGTCGGGATCGGACTCACGGCCTCCTGTATACCAGGCGAGGGAGTTAACATTTCATAGCCACCGCCAGTGGAAGTTCGTCTCTCAACGTTAAATAAATAGGCAGATGATCCCTTTCCTCCTTCACGCGTCTGCCTCTCCCAGTACAAAAATGAAAGCATGTCTTACACATCCCGTCAGCCGCATTCCGCCTTCTGGAAGATGCTTGAATTTCAGCAGTCTTGATTCAAATGCGAGCAAAGACACGGGGCCGGTTTCGACACTGGGTGTCGCATCAGCAGCAGAATCAGGCTCGCTTGACTCAATGCTGGCGAGCTGCTGATCTTCTGTCTTTACTCAATGGGGTTCAAGTTCGATGCTAAATTATTAAGTGATGCATAACTCGAAATGTATTAGCAGTTCACCGCCATTGATTAAAGTTAGTCTGATTCTGCTGCTGCTGGTGAGACACTGTATATCGACACCGTGTATCTCGGTGGCTATGAGATGTTAACTACCTCGCCTGGTATACAGGAGGTCGTGGGTTCGATCCCGAATCTGATGCCTGCTGCATATTTGGAGTTTGCGTGTCTCTTTCTCTCTCCGTGCTTGCGTGGATTTTTCTTCGGGTCCTCCGGTTTTTCTCTCCACATTTATAAACACGCGCTCAGAGTGTTTGGCTGCTACAAATGTCCACGTGATGAGCCACTTCGTTGGGCTATCATTCGTGGCCAGGTTCGCATCTGAAAAAGAGCTGGTAAAATAAAAGTGATACTCTTTAGTTCTTTCGGTCAAGTCACGTAGGTATAAAATAAAATTAATTATATTTAATTTATGAATCATTGCAGTCACGAAAACTTAAGATCTAAATAAAAGTGAGTTGAGTTTCAATAGTTTAAAATCGAAAGCGGTCCATAGTTTTGCTCGTATTTGAGTCAACGCCGATTAAAATTACGCACCGCCAGAAGGCCGTGCGACCGATGGTTTGTGCAACAGACACTTTTAGTTGAACGTCTGCCGCACACACACGTAGCCAAACCGTGATAATCGGAGGTGGATTGTGCGAACCCCGTGGTCTGTGAATCGGCGGTGCAGGGGGCAGTGCTGGATCACGCGATTGGCGGATCCGTCTCTCTTCTTCATTTTGTAGCAATGAAAGGAGGTGAATCGCATCTGCCGTGCCCTATCCTGCCAGCTACTTGGTGCTGACCACTACTTTCGTGGGTTAGGGGATCGAACTCCCCAACCCCTGGTGAGATAGGAGTGTAAAGGAGAGCCGACACACATGGGAGTGCACAACTCACCTGTGAGCTGCAGGGGAAGAGGTGGTATGGAGAGTGCTGGCTGGCAGCTGGGGGCTCTGGGTGCGGTGTCGGAGAAGAAATAATTACGGTGACGACGGCTGCGGTGGTAGTGGTGGTGGTGGTGGCGGCGGTGGCTAAGTCACCGCCTGGCGAGGAACGGTCACGCAGCTCGCCCCGACCCCTCACCGTTTCTCCTGGACGTCTGTGAAAAAGACCTTTGCAGCTCATCGGATTCCTGCAGTGTAAACACATGTTGCCTTCAACATGTAGGCTTTCTCGACCAATGTCATCGGTGTATTATGGATGAATCAATATTATGATTCCGATTCTGTTCCCCCCCCACGCCCCCCCTCCCCCACACCGCAGCGACGCCCTGACGCACGACGAGACGACGGAGGCCGAGGGCTACGCTCCGTACGTCGTCGTCAGCGAGACGTCGTCCGGCATCGAGGCCAGCCCCGTGTGCGTGCCGCCCCCCCCCGCCTGCCCCCCCCCCGCCCCCCCCCCCCCCCCCCCGCCTGCCCCCCCGCCTGCCCCCCGCGCCTCTCTCCGTTCACGGACGCCGCAGTGGACACCAACCTAATAATGAAAACATTTTCTGCACACAAACATTATTATTGTAATATTTACCAACTTATTAGTTACATAATAGTAAACAATGAACCGGAGTTCTTATCTGCACACAAACATAATTATTGTAATATCTGGCAACTTATTAGTTTAATAATGAACATGAGTTATTAGCAAAAGATTAAATTCAATTGTACTTTACATTGCCGTGGAGAGGCCGAGTGCCGTACAAAGCCCGAGTCCTCGTCTAGATTGGCAAGTGAGAAGGGGTGGGGGGCCCCGGGTTTTACTCTGTCAAATCGCGCGCTGTCTTGCGTGTCGTTTGCACGTTCTCCTTTCTGTTTCTGCACGTACGCGTGTGTATGTATGTATGTACGTACGCGTGTGTGTGTGTATGTACGCGTGTGTGTACTATGTACGTACGCGTGTGTGTGTGTACGTACGCGTGTGTGTACTATGTACGTACGCGTGTATGTGTATGTACGTACGTGTGTGTGTACGTACGTGTGTGTGTATGTACGTACGCGTGTATGTGTGTATGTACGTACACGTGTATGTGTATGTACGTACGTGTGTGTGTGTACTATGTACGTGTGTGTGTATGTACGTACGCGTGTATGTGTGTATGTACGTACACGTGTGTGTGTGTATGTACGTACACGTGTGTGTGTGTATGTACGTACACGTGTGTGTATGTGTGTATGTACATACACGTGTGTGTGTGGTTAAAGTTCTTTAGCACCACACGTGGCGAACAGCGCTAATCGGAGGTGCAGGGGAAGGTGGAAGGACAACAAACTAAACACAAGAATCGGTTCTAAAGAGACGAGTTTGTCAATCTAAACGACGATGATTTAAAAGTGCACAGCTCCACTGGCTTCCTTAACATCAGAGGAGAAGAGAACGTTCCAGACGGCCGCCGAAGCGCATCTGAAAGCGCCGCGCGATGCGGTCGGTGACCACCGCCTTTGTTCGATGGCAGCAGCCAGAAGCCGCTGCTGCGAGGATGACCGCAGTTTGCGTGCTGGTTTATGTACCTTGGCGAGATCAACAATGAGTGTGTGCATGGCGGTGTAGCGGTTAGCGTGCTGTGCTACGAACCCAACACCAGTGACAATCTGCGGCGGTCCTGGGCCTCCCCTAGGTTAACTGAGCCTCAATTGAGTACCCGGTGCGATGTGTAAACATCAACACGAGGAAGACAAAAGCGGCCGGTCGTGGCGCTGGTCCACCCACCCCCTCGCCTGCCGTACCGGCCTTCATAGGTGCTCACTAACAACACTTGCCTCAGAAGCCTATTTATAGCTATACAAGGGATCTTTGCTTTTATTTCGTCTTTGTGCACGTGGAGTGTGTATGGTGTACCCCTATTCTGCATGGATTATTGCTAAACACACACACACAATGTAACCAGTATTGGCCTAAACATCCCAAGGCTCAAAATGTACCTGCAAATTACTCAATTGGGATCAAGCGGCAGCAGCAGCATCTCGTCCCTTCCCCCACTTCAAAAAAATTAGCAGGACCCTACTGAAAAAGAGTTATAGTAATAGGTGTTTACCCTTTTATCTGGCAACAAAACTGACACCTTTATACAAGGATCATGTTTGCATTAACCACAACACTTTTGGTCAAAATGCAAACAAAGAGACAACTGATAATGTATGCACTGTCCTTGAAATTGATTGGTCCACACCCGAGACTATATCTTGCTACTGGCAAAGGAGGTCTCATAATGAAAAAGAGTGTTGAGATTCGGTGAGGATTTTCACGGGGAAACAAGCATCATCATCATCGCGTGTGTGTGTTGAACTTCTTTCGCACCGTACGTAGCCAACCGTGTCGATCGGAGGTGCGTTGTGAAGCACGAACAAGCTTTAGACAAGTAACGAGTGCATTGCCAAGTGTGTGAGCAGCGTGTCTCTTACAGGGAGCGCTGTGAGAGTGGCAGGGTGGCTTACGTCTCCTGCAACCCAAAAGGTACGCAGGAGCCTCTCCATCGATTCCCTCTCTGCTCTCCCCTCACAAGGCAGTTGTCTTGCCAACTTCACTCCTCTCCGCACCCAGACCACGGCACCCCAAACACTGCGAACCCTCCACTGGATCCCAATGCAGACGATCCACCAATGGCTGGGCCACAACTTAGGGGCCGTCCATAAATGACGTCACGCACCGATGTGTGACGAGGGGGGGGGGTGAGAAATGTGACGTCACATCAAAATGCACAACTTTAAATAAATATAGATTTGTTATAAGAACACTAATTGTTATAACAACACTCCTACGACATCAGAGTGCAGCGCCACATTAAATACGCACTACAATGCCAATAGTTTAAAGTGATTTAAAGCATGTTTTATATTTTGGGGGGCGGAGGGAGCTTTGTGACGTCATATTTGACGGGGGGTCTGACTTGTGACACCGTGTGACGAGGGTGGGGGGTCAAAAATCGTCCAAAATTGCGTGACGTCATTTATGGACGGCCCCTTACCGGATCGCACTGAACCGGCCTCAATATCCATTCTCGAGTTTTAACGCATCGTAGTGACAGGCTTTCGCGACCAATATTATCCAGAATAGACGTGTTTTGTGTTAGATCGCAAATATATAAATGTGCCGTTAAACCCGCCACCACCCCATACAGACAATTAAAAAGTGTCATCGTGTTCTAGATTTGAAGCTTTCGTGACTGCAAGGATTCATATTCTTAGGTTTTTTCGGTAAAGTCACGTAGGTAAAACATTTAAATTAAAAGTAAATTAAAAATAAAATAAAAATTACGACGTTTCGGAGTTAACACAAGCTTCTGTCTTCAGGTGGAACCGTCACAGCACGCTTGCTGTATCAAGTAAATGAGAAAATTCCAAGAGATCCGACCTTGTATATATACTGGTTGAGGGGGGAGGAGCCAGGGTAGGCCCCTGGATAGGAGTTTTTTATTATTATTATGATAAGGTTGGTGCGGCTGAAGCTACGGCTAGTCTACATAACAAAGGACTGAGCCTTTGTTATGTAGACTGGTTGAGAGGGGGGGAGGTGCCAGAGTTGTTAATGTGCGGCTGCTGCTAATGACCCTGAGCCTTTGTTATGTAGATGGTACAAGCAAAATAGCAGGTCAGGAAGAAACAGCATCTTGCTATGTTACTTGGTGGGTAAAACTTAAAGCAGGAAACCAGCGTGTGAAAAAAGAAGCTAAACATGATCAAACAAAACTGGCTGTCTATCAGTAAACTGTACAGTAACTAAAGAATAGTTGTCTGTCAAATAAGATGGTCTAAATATGTGTAGTTAAATCTTTTTTTGCATGGTTAATAACATCTTTCCAATGATTACTCAGTTTGTACCCATCATCACGGTTGAAATTATGTCTGTATTTCTATATTTGGATGGCTTCAATTTCATGAGAGCTCTCATGAGAGCTCTCATGAAATTGTCTTTTCCGAGACCAAGGTCCTCTGCAAAGCTCCTGGCTACTATCAAAGGTTTGTACACGAAGCCATACAAATATACAAACACAGACATAATTTCAACCGTGATGATGGGTACAAACTGAGTAATCATTGGAAAAATGTTATTAACCATGCTTTAAGTTTTACCCACCAAGTAACATAGCAAGAGGCTGTTTCTTCCTGACCTGCTAGTTTGCTTTTACCATCTACATAACAAAGGTTCAGTCCCATTAACAGCAGACGCACATTAACAACTCTGGCACCTCCCCCCCCCCCCCCTCTCAACCAGTCTACATAACAAAGGCTCAGTCCTTTGTTATGTAGACTAGCCGTAGCTTCAGCCGCACCAACTTTATCAGGGGCCTATCCAGGGGCCTACCCTGGCTCCTCCCCCCTCAACCAGTATATATACAAGGTCGGATATCTTGGAATTTCTCATTTACTTGATACAGCTGTCGTGCTGTGACGGTTCCACCTGAAGACGGAAGCTTGTGTTGCCTCCGAAACGTCGTGATTTTAATTTTATTTTTATTTTACTTTTATTAATTTTAATTTTACGTGACGTTACCGAAAAAACTGAAGAATAAGTGTCATCGTTTCTTACTTTGGCTGTGGCGGGTGGTGGCGGGTTTAACGACAAGTTTATATTTATGCGAACTAACAAACACTCACACAAACACTCTCACAAACACTCTCACAAACACTTACAAACACACTCACAAACACTCTCACAAACACTTACAAACACACTCACAAACACTCTCACAAACACTCTCACAAACACACTCACAAACACACTCACAAACACTCACATACACACTCACAAACACTCTCACAAATACTCTCACAAACACACTCACAAACACTCTCACAAACACTCTCACACTCTCACAAACACTCTCACAAACACTCTCACAAACACTCACAAACACACTCACAAACACAAACACTCTCACAAACACACAAACACACTCACAAACACTCTCACAAACACACTCACAAACACACTCACAAACACACTCACAAATACTCTCACAAACACACTCACAAACACACTCACAAATACTCTCACAAACACACTCACACTCTCACAAACACACAAACACTCTCACAAACACTCTCACAAACACTCACAAACACTCTCACAAACACTCTCACAAGACTGTGGACGCCGCCCGCTGGTTCCGGACGAGCCTGGCCCCACGTCGAGGGGCCCAGCGGCGTTCTCCCCGTCGGGGCGCATCGTGGGAGGGGGCGATGCGGAGGCCGGAGCGTGGCCCTGGGCAGCCGCCCTCTACCACCAGGAGAGGTTCCTGTGCGGCGCGGCGCTCCTCTCGGCCCGCTGGCTCGTCACGGCCGCCCACTGCGTCATCGGGTGAGAGCGCAACGCGCGGCGCGATGATGATGATGTGAGCCAAAGACTCCCCCCCCGCCCGCCTCTGTGTAGCCTGTGTAGTGGTTTCAGTGGAGGCACAAACTTGACTTGGAGGCGACACGTTTATTTCTCAACAGTGCACTTAGGGGCCGTCCATAAATGACCTCACGCACCTAGGGGGGGGGGGTCAGACATTTGTGACGATGTGTGACGAGGTTTGAGAAATGTGACATCATATCAAAATGCGCAACATTAAATACATATAGACAACACGTTTTACTTAATTAAATAGACTTTTAAATAAATGTTTTCTCCTACAACATCAGAGTGCAGCGCCACATTAAATAGGCACTACAATGACAATAGTTTAAAGCGATTTGAACCATGTTTTATTTTCAAAATGGAAATATGGTTTTTGGGGGGAGGGGCAGAGCTTTGTGACGTCATATTTGAGGGGCGGTCTGACTTTTTGTGACGCCGTGTGACGAGGGGGGTGGGGTCAAAAATCGTCCAAAATCGTGTGACGTCATTTATAAACGGCCCCTTGCATAAACCACAACGGGTTACCTAGAGTCCAACGGGGTACGATACCACAACAGGGTAACTACATAATGTGGTCAGTCAGTATCATCCTGCCTGACCCACGATGCTGTACGTGATGATCGAAGATCTAAGAAGTGTTGCACGGCGGGTCCCATTCCTCTACAGCAGGGCTGAGGAACCTTCTTTCTGCCAATGGCCATTTGGATATTCATAACATCATTCGCGGGCCATACAAAATGATCAACTTAAAAATGTGCCTGTTATATTTGGTCAAACATTTAATTAACTCGCCCCTAATGCGATGGGCTGGAACTGCTTCTCTTTGGCGAGGCGTGTGATGTTAGCTGGTATTGATGATGTTGCTGCTACTCGCAACTGCTTTTCCAGGTTTGCTCCTAGATTTGTTGAATATCGAGTCCCGCCTGCGGTTGCCTTGGCAGGGCCACACCAAATGATTTCGCGGGCCGGACGTTCCCCACCCCTGCTGTAGACGGCCGCGATTGCCCCCCTTGGATCAGTTTTGATCCCCTGAGCGGGGCCTCCCTCCGCCCTCTGCTCCGCCCCTTTCGGGATCTTCCCAGGAAGGTTCTAGGGCCCTCACACCACCCGTAGCGTACTTCTCGTCACCTGTCGGCCACCCCTCAATATTCTCTCCTCGTCACGTGCCTTCCCGGGTTTCTCTGGACTGTCATCTCCTGACTGTCTCTCCCTTTCCATGCCATAACGTACACTCGTGTCTGATAGAGGCTCTCACACACACATCAATTCCACTCTTCTATACGGATGTTTTTTTTTGTATCCCGTATACAATAATGTGTAGGCTATACAGGTAGTGCTCTACTTACGATGGAGATGCGTTACGGCGACCCCATCGTAAGTCAAAAATATCGTAAGTCGAAGATGGCCTAGCCTACCCATGAGTCTTAAAGAATGGGGATAATTTAGCAAAACAGAGCAATTTACAGTACCGTACTGTGTCAACTATATACTGTATGTATTTATTAGTTACAATACTGTATTCCACAGTAAAATAAAACAAGGTAAATTCCTAGCCTACCTATATGAACTGCAATTTAATAAAAAAAAATTTTCAGGAAACAGTCCTATCTGCTATCAAAACTTTTCACGTGCAATGAACGTATCATATCGTGGTAACCCTAAAATGAAATCGCTAAAGCTACGTATTATACATGCATTGAACGTATCGTTCGCTGCTGCGTTTACCTGCCACGCGAAATTTGAAATATTTTACAATTTTGTCGTATCGCTATCGCCATCGTAAGATCGAAATATCGTAAGTCGCACCATCGTAACTCAGGGACTATCTGTACTTATATATTCGTATTTTAGTTGCACCGTGTATTGGGTTTAGAATCCAAACCCAATACACGGTGCAACTCAAATATTATAATAAGCAGATGTAAAGGTAACAATACTCACACGTTGTGCGTCTTGTTACATGCCGGCCCCATCGGTCTAGGACTTCCTCAAAGGGGGTGGATCGCGCAACTTGACGCTGCTCTGTTGATACTACGACAGCCAGATGCGTTCATGGTGGACCGCAGGGAATTTTTTTATACGTATTTAGTTAAAATGTTTTTTCTGAATATGCTTGTACTTGTGCGTTTATCTGTTCATTCGGGGGCCCCCCTTGTGGCCGACTGGGCCTCCTATGTGTCTCATAACGCCGCGTGTGGCTTATAATATGCTACCCCCCACCGGCACGTGCCCCCCACCAGCGCGTGCCCCCCACCAGCGCGTGCCCCCCACACCTTTTACATTTGGTGGCGCGATGCAGGAAAGACTGGGACCCGGGCACGTGGACTGTGTACCTCGGGGTCCGCGACCGGCTGCAGGCGGCGTCGCCGCCCGTCGTGAGGGCGTCGATCGCGGAGATCCACATCCACTCGGGGTACAACCAGGCCACCAAGAGGCACGACGTGGCCGTGCTGCGGCTGTCCGAGCCCATCGCCTTCACGGGTGAGGGCACCCCGGAAGAAGCACTTCACTAGCGGGGGGGGGGGGGGGGGGGGGCGCTCTCGTGGCAAGCGGTTTGTGTGATGATGTGTGTGTGTGTGATGTGCCACGTGGTGTGTGTGTGTGACCTGCCACGTGATGTGTGTGTGATGTGCCACATGGTGTGTGTGTGATGTGCCACATGGTGTGTGTGTGATGTGTCACGTGGTGTGTGTGTGATGTGCCACGTGGTGTGTGTGACGTGCCACGCGGTGTGTGTGATGTGCCACGTGATGTGTGATGTGCCACGTGGTGTGTGTGTGATGTGCCACGTGGTGTGTGTGTGATGTGCCACATGGTGTTTGTGTGATGTGCCACGTGGTGTGTGTGTGACGTGCCACGTGGTGTGTGTGATGTGCCACGTGGTGTGTGTGACGTGCTACGTGGTGTGTGTGTGTGTGACGTGCCACGTGGTGTGTGTGTGTGACGTGCCACGTGGTGTGTGTGTGATGTGCCACGTGGTGTGTGTGTGTGACGTGCCAGGCGGTGTGTGTGTGTGTGACGTGCCACGTGGTGTGTGTGTGTGATGTGCCACGTGGTGTGTGTGTAACGTGCCACGTGGTGTGTGTGTGTGACGTGCCACGTGGTGTGTGTGATGTGCCACGTGGTGTGTGTGTGACGTGCCACGTGGTGTGTGTGTGACGTGCCACGTGGTGTGTGTGTGTGACGTGCCACGTGGTGTGTGTGTGATGTGCCACGTGGTGTGTGTGTGTGTGACGTGCCACGTGGTGTGTGTGATGTGCCACATGGTGTGTGTGTGATGTGCCACATGGTGTGTGTGTGACGTGCCACGTGGTGTGTGTGTGACGTGCCACGTGGTGTGTGTGTGACGTGCCAGGCGGTGTGTGTGTGTGTGACGTGCCACGTGGTGTGTGTGTGTGACGTGCCACGTGGTGTGTGTGTGATGTGCCACGTGATGTGTGTGTGTGACGTGCCACGTGGTGTGTGTGATGTGCCACATGGTGTGTGTGTGATGTGCCACATGGTGTGTGTGTGACGTGCCACGTGGTGTGTGTGTGACGTGCCACGTGGTGTGTGTGTGACGTGCCAGGCGGTGTGTGTGTGTGTGACGTGCCACGTGGTGTGTGTGTGTGTGACGTGCCACGTGGTGTGTGTGTGTGTGTGATGTGCCACGTGGTGTGTGTGTGACGTGCCACGTGGTGTGTGTGTGTGACGTGCCACGTGGTGTGTGTGACGTGCCACGTGGTGTGTGTGTGTGACGTGCCACGTGGTGTGTGTGACGTGCCACGTGGTGTGTGTGTGACGTGCCACTGACTGTAGGTCACGTGCAGCCGGTATGCCTCACGGAGCCCGCGTGGGAGTTCCCGGCGGGGTCGCGCTGCTGGGTGGTGGGGTGGGGATCCACCTTCGAAGGAGGTGAGGGGGGCGGGGGGGCTTGGGGGGGCGGCAACCCACCGCTCGCTCCCGCACACGGTCCCACATCGGCAGGCCGACGAGGACCGATGAGGACCCACGAGGCCACTAAGCCCGTCGTGTAACGAGTACCGGCGGTTTATGTTGTGAGGGGCGGGGGGGTCTGTGGCTTTGACTTTAACAAAACTGGCGGTGGTAAACCACCACCATCTAGCACCTTACCCCTGGTGACCAAAACGCATTCCACTTCTCTCTCCAAATACCAGGATACAAACAAAAACTATGATTCGTATTACCGCAACATAAAAGCAGTTTTATTTTAGAGGTGGTGCATTTAGATTATTAGCGTTAGGGAAGTTTAATTGGGGTAGTTGACCTCACTTCACTTCTTTAATGAAGTAAAAGATTAATGAATGTCCCGATACCAAAGGTTTTATAAAACACTAGCTGTACTACCCGGCTTCGCCCGGGACTTGTATCCACCACGGCCGGCCGCCTTTGTCTCCCCAGTGGCGATGTTAATACGCCACACCAGTTACTCGTTTGAGGCTGAGTCGACCTATGGGAGGTTCAAATAATCTTGACCGGTGGTGGCCATGAGCGGGAATCGAACTCGGTTCGCCGGGTTGGTAGCGCAGCGTAGCGTTAACCACTACACCCACCGCTCCTCACACACACAGACGCACAGACACACACACAGACACCCACACATAGACACACGCAGACACACACAGACAGACACAGACAGACACACAGACAGCACGCTAACCACTACACTACCGCTCCCCACACACCACACACGCACACACACAGACACACACACAGACACACACACACAGACACACACACACAGACAGAGACAGCACGCTAAGCACTACACTACCGTTCCCCCTACACTACACACGCGCGCGCGTCCATAGGTACACATACACGCGTTTGCTGCAGACACACACGACTTTGAGGGTGCGTACGGCAGTAAACGACTGCAATAATAAAGCGGCAATGCTGCGCGAGGAACGCCTTAGACCTGCAACACATTTGTGTAATGCGAGCGTAAACACACAAACACATACAAACACATACACACACATACATACACCCACATACACACAAACACATACACACACATACACACACATGCATACACACAGACATACACATACATACAAACACACACATACATACACACAAACACATACACAATACACACACACATACATACAGACACACACATACATACACACAAACACATACAGACACATACATACACACATACATACAGACACACAGACATACACATAAACACATACACACATAGTCATGACCCGGCTTTGCCCGGGACTTGGATCCACCACGCCCGGCCGCCTTTGTCTCCCCAGTGGTGATGTTAATACGCCACACCAGTTACTCGTTTTGAGGCTGAGTCCCTCCCTCGCCACTCTCCCTCCCTCGCCACTCTGCCTCCCTCGCCACTCTGTAGAGGACGTGAAATTTTTATGAATTTACCTCAGAGTGGCGTGTTGGGTGTCGAGGCCTAGCACCGTGCAGAGTCTCCCACCTTGCCTGATTTTCCAACCCGGCGAACGCTGGGTACGGGTGCCAGTCCCCCCCCCCCCCCCCCCCCCGCGCTATTAAAAATGGCGTCCACCCCGCGGCGAAAAGTTGCTACTCGTTGCCAGGGGCAACCGCCGTCCAATGAAAGCGGCGAAGGCGTCGTTAGCTGTTGCCAGGGGCAACCGCCGTCCAATGAAAGTGCGTATGGTCCGAAATCCACACACACATACACAGACAGACAGACATGCACGATTTTATATATATAGATTGCCATTATTTTACGGATCAAGTTGCGTTTGTTATCACAGTCCCCGCGGAACCACCTGGAGGACCCCCACAGCCCACCGGTGGTACCGGGTGACCACACCTTGAGGACCACTGCTCTAGTGTGACGCTCACTGGACCCTGCACTCCAACGGCCCGATGCTGTGGACGCACTTCACAGAAGTTACAATGGATATCAGTTATAATTGCTTTGGTTATTCACAAGTTAATCAACGTGCGTGAGCACGCGTACATCGTTCGTTCACTCGCAGGGACGTGGTCTTGGACTCCCGCAGCTTGAGCAACCCTCTCCGGCGGACTCTGTTGAGAGGGGATCGAGGATTCCTCCTCCACGTGGAATCTATCCGCCCCCCCCCCCCCCCCCCCCGTTGCCTGCGTCTGCTGCCAGGCTCCCCCGCGGCCGTGCTGCAGGAGGCTGCCGTTCCGCTCCTCTCTAACGAACACTGCCGGCCGCTGCTGCAGGACCGCTACAACATCTCCGCCGACATGGTGTGTGCCGGCTACGAGGAGGAGGGAGGTGTCGACCACTGCCACGTGAGCCTCCCTCCCTCGCATCCCTCCCTCCCCTCCACTCCCTCTCCCCTCCCTCTCCCCTCTCATGCACGCGCACGGTCAACTGACCCCGCGGCGTCACAACCACTGCGTGTTCTGAACATCAGCATTGGAGGAGACAAAGGCGGCCGGAGCGTGGTGTTCGTGTGCCGTGCTGGTTTTAATTGGGGCAACTCTCTAACGGCACTTGGCCCCAACAGTCTGTTAGTGGCTATATGGGGAGGGGGGGTGAGGATCTGTGTGTATTTGTGTGGGGCTGTTAGACTACCACAGAGGGTGGCACTTATGTTATTGGCCTCAGCAGGGAGTGATGATGGATTACGTTCAACCTCTTTTGCACCATACGTAGCCAACTGCGCCAATCGGAGGTGCAGATGAAGGCCAGCAAACGGTGTGTGTCACTGTGCGACTCTATCGGTCCACGTGTGATTCTTAAGACACGAAAAGCAGTCCTAAAGAAGTTTGTTATCAACCTAGATGATTTAAAAGTGCGTATCTCTCCATTGCCTGATGCGGCCGAAGAAATGCAGTTGTCCATGTGGTGTTGAGTGTGCGTGCGTGTAAATGTGTGTGGAGAGCGGCGGGACAGCGGTTAGCGCGCTGCGCTGCGAACCCAACGACACGAGTTCGATTCCCGCTCATGGCTAACACCGATAACGCTTATCTGAAGCGGTCATGGGCCTCCCCTAGGTCGACTCAGCCTTAAAATGAGTACCCGGTGCGGTGCATAAACATCGTCACTGGGGAGACAAAGACGGCCGGGCGTAGTGTTGACCACCCAACCCCCCCGTGCCCTGTGCCAGCCTTCTTAGGCGCAGATCACTAACAGCACTCACCGCAACAGTCTGCTAAGGCTACTCGGGGGATCTTTGTCTTTGTGGGGGGCTGCAGGGCGACTCTGGGGGGCCCCTGTCGTGCGAGCGGGACGGGCGCTGGTTCCTGGAGGGCGTCGTCTCGTTCGGAGTCGGCTGCGGGAATCCCCGACGCCCGGGGGTCTACGCCCGCATCTCCACGCACGCCGCCTGGCTCTCTGACTTCCTTCACTACCACTGACTCACTCACACATCATACACCGACTCACTCACACATCATACAATGACTCACTCACTCATAATACACTGACTCACTCACACATCATACACCGACTCACTCACACATCATACACTGACTCACTCACTCATAATACACTGACTCACTCACACATCATACACCGACTCACTCACACATCATACAATGACTCACTCACTCATCATACACTGACTCACTCATTCAGCATACACTGACTCACTCACTCAGCATACACTGACTCACTCACACAACATACATTGACTCACTCACACATACACTGACTCACTCACTCATCATACACTGACTCACTCACTCATAATACACTGACTCACTCACACATCATACACCGACTCACTCACACATCATACACTGACTCACTCACTCATCATACACTGACTCACTCATTCAGCGTACACTGACTCACTCACACAACATACATTGACTCACTCAGACATCATACACTCACTCACACAGCATACACTGACTCACTCACACATCATACACTGACTCATTCACTCATCAACAACTCACTCACACATCATACACTGACTCACTCACTCATCATACACTGACTCACTCATTCATAATACACTGACTCACTCACACATCATACACTGACTCACTCACACATCATACACTAACTCACTCACACATCATACACTCACTCACACATCACACACTCACTCATCATACATTGACTCACTCACTCATCATACACTGAATCACTCACACATCATACACTGACTCACTCACACATCATACACTCACTCACACATCACACACTCACTCATAATACACTGACTCACTCACACATCATACACTGACTCACTCACACATCATACACTGACTCACTCACACCCCATCCACTCCCACCGACTCACTCACACGGCACGTCTCCTGTGTTTCTCCTCTACCCCTGCACGACACTCGGCCACGTGGAGTTGTGTCGAGGTGCTGTGCGCCTCGCGTCCTTTCCTTGTTGTTGTATATAATGCACGTGACCCCCGCCTGCCCCTTGAAGCACTGCACTGACTACATTGTTAAAGAAGGCATTCAACACACGATGTAACACAATTTTTGTTCCTGGGTCGTAAGTATTCTTTCCTAATTTCTTATGCCTCAAAAGTACAGATAATGGCTATTATTCGGGACAAACATTGCTTTTTTGACCAGGACAGTGATATTTTTAAATTTACCTATTTTCCATGAGAAAACGGGCGAATTTGTGTATTTTTGCTCACATAAAGTCCGAAAAAAACAACATATGGATACAAATTTACGTATGTATACTAAAGTAATACAAAAATGACGACAAAAGATTTATGTGAGTAGTTTTTCAAGATTTATGATTATACCGTAAATCACTTTCACGAATCAGCCCCCAAATGCAGTCTCCTATCATGTTCTCGTCATACTGTCCTTGGTAGCGGCGTTCAAATTCCAGTACATCCTGGTGGAAGCGCTCGCCTTGCTCCTCCGAGTACGCTTCTATGTCCTCCTTGAATTTATCAAGATGAGCATCGAGGATATGGACTTTGAGGGACATCCTACATCCCATTGTGCCATAGTTCTTCACCAGTCTCAACCAGCTCCACGTAGTTTTCGACTTTGTGATTGCCCAGGAAGCCACAAACCACTGTGACAAAGTTGTTTCAAGCCGCTTTCTCCTTACTAGTGAGCTTCTTGGGGAATTCATTGCACTCCAGGATTTTTATCTGTGGTCCGATGAAGACAGCAGCTTTGACCTTTGCCTCAGACAGCTTAGGGATTAAGTCTTGAAGGTACTTGAAGGCTGCCGACTCCTTATCTACAGCTCTGACAAATTATTTCATAAACCCAATTTGATGTGCAGTCGTGGCATCAGCACCTTCCGGGGGTTCACCAGTGGCTCCCACTTGACGTTGTTCCTCCCCACAGAGAACTCAGTCTGCTGTGGACAGTCCCACCTGTGGTAGTGCGCCTTGGTGTCCCTGCTGTCTCAAAGGCAAAGATAGCAGGGAAACTTGGTAAAACCGCCTTGGAGACCCATCAGGAATACCACCACTTTAAAGTCAACGATGACCTTCCAGCCGTACTCATCATACTTCAAAGCGTCCAGCAAGGTCTTGATGCTGTTGTAATCCTCTTTGAGGTGCACCGAGTGAGCCAGGGGAAGAGACGGGTACTTGTTACCATTATGGAGCAGCACGGCTTTGAGGCTCATGGATGAGCTGTCAACGAAGAGGCGCCACTCATTCTGGTTACAGGCGATTCCGTTTGCCTCGAACAGACTGGTCACATTGTGGCAGAGGCAGAGCAAAACTCTTGACGGGTGAAGAAGCTGAAAAAAGGTTGGTGACGCTTCCTCTGATCTTCGACTTGCACACATTCATCCAACAAGTTCCACTGCTTGAGCCAAGACGACAAAAGCTCGGCATTGGACTTGTTGAGACCAAGATCTCTGATAAAGTCGTTGAGGTTTCTCTCCTCAGCTCCACCTCTGAAATTGTCATCTGGATCTACAATGTCTTCCTCGCTCTCTGACTTGCTCCTCTTTTCTAAAGACGGCTGCTCTCGCTCCGGAGGAGTGGGTACGAGACGCTCATGGCAGTGTGGCACCGGGGCGATGGATGAAGGAAGGTCCGGATACGTGATAGCAGGTGCATTCCTGCCAGTCCGACGTTTGGAAGGGTCCACCATGCAGAAGTAGCAGTTGCTTGAGTGGTCATTGGGTTCCCACAGATTATTGACTAATGTGTAAGAGATTCTTGCAACATTTTTTATGTATGATATATTTTTTCAATAACATTGAACATTTTGAAATATTTTAAAATTAAAAACTTTTACAATTGAATTAAAAAAAAAAATTATAACATCAAATTCCGAGCAAAAATTGTACATCTTACCTTCCATTGTTTTTTTGCATTGCTCACAGGTGAAATGAAGTGCGCAGGGTTTGCCTTGATCCCCGACAGGCTTGCCGAAATATGCCTTGTAGGCCTCACACATCTTATCAGATGCTTCCACATAGTACTTTTTCGCTCTTGTCTTTGTAAATTGACCACAGACATAGTAAAATGCATCTGCCGAATGCTTGCAGCCTCTTGATGCCATCTCAGAAAATTGCTGATATGTATCCACTTGGGTAGCTGGAACTAAACAGAACTGGTGGGCTTAAGGCCCTGTATTTATACTATTTATATTACTGGAACGTTCTAGAATGTTCTAGAAATCACTGCAAGTTTACTCAGCACTGAATCTATCTGGAATGTTCTGTAAAATAGGTAAATTTCAAAATATCATTGTCCTGGTCACAAAAGCAAAGTTTGTGGGGAATAATAGCCATTTTCTGTACTTTTCAGGCATAAGCAATTAGGGAAATACTACTTACCACCCAGGAACAAACAAATAAAAAACATTTTGTTAGAAAGTGTTATTATTCAAGTAGTCTCTCTCAGTGTCGGATTAAGCTAGTGCCGGGCCTGTAGCATCTTTTCTTTCTTCTTTTTTTAATATATATAAAAGTCTCCGCACGTGCGCTTGCGAGGGATTTGGCTCTCGCCAGGCAGCACGCCCTTAGCCCCGCGGTGGGAATAGGCTCTTCCGTTTTTTAAAGTAGTTTAATTAACACATTTGTGGCATTAATTTTTTCATTATTTACTTATTGCGCTACATCGACCGTACCAACTGACGACAATTGCCTGGGCGGGGGGCAGACCCTGCCAAGTGATGCGCGTTCGGTCGAGCTCACGGGGGACATTTTATTTTACGCGTTTAACATGCAATAAATATACACATCACGCTGCCGATTTTTCTTCACATTCTGATGTCCTCTTCGCCCCCCCCCCATACTATAGAGTCCGTAGATAATTATATTATACTGCTTACACTGCATTATTGTTGCACGGGCCGGGGGATGCTGGGGGGGGAGGGGGGTGGGGGTAGTGCCACCTCCGCCGCCTCGCCAATATAGACCAGGACGGGGGCTCTGCACGAGACTAGGCCTCACCACGCCTATGGTAAGTACAAATTTCCTTGCTTCTTACGCTAAAATCACGTACGTACAAAACTGTTGTTTTGATAATTGGTTTTTTACCCTTCTATCTGGCAACAAAACTGACACTTTTTTTGTCAGTTTTGTTGCCAGATAGAAGGGTAAAAAACAATTATATTTTTACTGGCAAATGAGGTTCCCATGGTGTAAAGTGTAAACTGTTGTTTTATTAATCACCTTGGAAATATTCAATTATTTTTGTTTGTGTGCTCACAACATATTTCTTTTTCCTTTAACTTGCCCGTTACTTTCAGCTTTATTATTCTGTCAACTCACGTTCAAATACACCTCTTTATGCAAATACCACCTTACATTACTTATCTTCACTTACAAGTTTTGTGACTGCAGGAATTCAGATTCTTTGCCTATTTCGGTTATGTCACGTACCTACAAACATTTCAATACATTTTACTTTTGACACTATGCCATACACACCATATACATCGATCAACGAATCTTTTCGGTTTATTGCCCATTACTTACATCTTCATTATCTTGTGTGAACTCACGTTCAAATCTCATCTTTATTCTGTGTTAACTCAAGTTCTAATACACCCATTCTTGTAAATATCACCTTCTTGCTATTACATTACTTCTCTTCACTTACAGCTTTCGTCACTGCACGATTTCATATTCTTTGCCTCTTTCTGTTACGTCACATAGCTACAAACATTTCTTTAAATTTGCATTCGTCACGATGCCATACACACCATACAAATCGTACACCTAATTGTTTGGCTTATAACTTGCCCATTGCTTTCATCTTTATTCTTGTGTAAACTCACGTTAAAATGTGCTATTTATTATTGTGTCAACTCACGTTCAAATACACCAAATTTTTCAAATCTCACTTTCCTATTACATTACTTATCTTCAGTGACTGCAGGATTTCATATTCTTTGCCGACCGGGTCAAACTACATGGCCGGGAGTCTGAGCCATTCCCTCTACACCTTTGGGTGCAACAGGGATGTCCTCTGGCTCCCACATTATGTTACATCTCTTTTACCACTTCGTGAAGCCTTCAATCTGCTACAGATACAATAGGAGGCTGATCGATGCCCGGGTGCGGTCAAGGGATGGCTCCCTATTGCTCAACCATGTTATATATGCCCATGATCTGCTAATTGCTGCTCACTCAGAGGACGAGTTGGAGACGTTGCTGCTGAACCTGGAGCTTGCCACTAGGATGTGGGGCCTTGCCATCAGCCCCACCAAAACTAAGCACCTGCCTGGGTATTTTGTACCATCGGACACTCCACCCCCACAACTCCCAATTGGTGATGGGCCGGTTGTGGAGAGAGTGGAGAGTTTCCCATACCTGGGCAGTGTGCTCATGATTGCTTCCGGTTTAACAGCAGAGGTCTCACTCTGAATCAGTCCAGCGGCATTGTCTTTTCATCGGTTGCGTAATGCTGTGTGCAAGCTACATGCTCTGTCGCTCCGCACGAAGCTTCAGGTCTTCTCGACCAAAGTCATTCCCTCCCTTCTCTACGCATGCAAAACGTGGACCCCCCTAATGGAAAAGCTTCACCGGTTACAAACATTTAGGCTGGCCTGCCTACGATCCATCCTGGGTCTAACCACGCTGGATTGTGTGACGAGCTCACATCCTTTAAAGATGTAGACAAAGTCCCATCTGTAAGCTCCTCCGGCAGCCAAGGCTGCGTTGGCTGGCCCATGTAGCCCGCATGCCCAGCCACCGCATGCCTGAACAGCTTTTGTTCGGCTGGATCGTGGGGGCTAAACACGCACAGCACGGGCTACAGAAGAGATGGGATGATGTGCTACAGGAGGATGTGCAGCTGAGTGGACTCCACGATGACTGGTACCAGTAGTCTCAAGATCGGCCTCTGTGGAGGAGGCTCGTGAACGACGCTACTGGCCACTTGGAGGCAATCGTCCTCCAACAACAACGGTGGGCGGAGGAGCGACGCTCACAACAACGAGCAGAGCGCCGGGTGGCTAAAGCACAGTAAGTTGCCACAGGAGGGGGCACAGGTGGTGCATCAGCCATACGTCTCAGTCAGTCGACCTGTGGCATCTGGGTCTGCCCCATCACCTCCTACCAGTGGGAATTCGACACTTCACGTGCCCTCAAGGTGCACATAGCCTGGCACAAGCGTTGTGGTGACGTCACCGCCACTTAGTGCCGAATGGCGGTTGTTGTTGTTGAGTCTATGTATGTATATGCGAGTCGATATGTATAAGTCTATGTGTGTGTGAGTCGATTTGTATGTGTAACTAAATGTGTGTCTAAAGTCGATGTCTATGTAAGTCCATGTGTGTGTGCGTGTAAGTCGATGTGTTTCTAGGTGTGTGGGTCGATGTCTGTATGTAAGTCCACGTGTGTGTGTCTGCCTTTTTCGCCCGAGCAACGCAGGGTACTTTCCGCTAGTAATTACTAAGTAACACCTAAAGATTTGATATTTAGCGACTCTTACTGCAGGCTGTGAATTATTAGTTCTAGATTTAGATTTAATTAAAGTAGCATTGCATCATGATATATTTCATAAATCTTGTGTTCGGTAACTTCGGTGCTGGATAAATTGGCCCCTCCAATCACTTCAAAAGCCCTGCCTCCCGACCAATCCCGGTAGAGGCCTCTTTCCGCCAATTGGAGACCTTGGTTTATCTGTGAATAGCCGTTAGGCTGCACAATGGCTGAGGGTATTTTTTCGGTCACTACAATTGTACACACACAAATCCTTCTTCAGTTTCAGTTTCATTTATTAGGTATAACCCTGTGAGCCATGCGGCTCTTGACTCGGGTGCAACCGTAACAAAACAAAAACATGAACAAGAAACATTTTAAAGTGACTACACGCAACAGAAAAATCCTGGAAAAAACAGCAAAGTCTTCCAGAAAAAACACCGTATATCAACGCTGTGTGCAAAAATCCGAGTGGGATGCAAGTCAAACACTAACAACCATAAGACAATGTAGATGAGAGTTATCAGGCTAACTCTGTACTACAACAAACAAACATGGCTAAATCAAAACGTTTTATTGTCATATGGCTGCTGATGTAGATGCAGAGCAACAACTTACAATTTCACATTCGGGTAGTCAAGCCAGACAACCGCGTAAGCGGTAAACGCATTGCCCTACAAACCCGACGACCCAAGATAGATTCCCGCTCACGGCCAACACCAGTGACGGTTGTCTAAACCGTCCCTGTGCCTCTCCTAGGTCAACTCAGCCTCAAATAAATACCTGGTGCGGGGTGTGTTAACATCGTCACTTGGGAGACAAAGGCGGCCGGGCGAGGTGCTGGTCACCCACCCCTTTGTCCCGTGCCGGCCATAAACCCACCCCTGGGGTACAGGCGTTTGACGCTTTCTGGGCTGTACCCCTCCAGAAACAGGTAACCGCTGTGGTTGTCCACGTGGAATTTTCTGAAAACTCACTGCAGAGAAAAGGCTGTAATTCCTTTGACGGGAACTGGACCAGGCCTCTGTGAAATACAGCAGGTCCGGTGGACTGGTTCTGGCTCCAGTATTCAGTATTCATGAAGTGCTCCAATCGGGGCAAGAAACTGCCAAACAACAAAGAGTGGCTCTGTTTCTGAACAAAATAAGCGTGGAGGCGAGATGTGGTGATGGCTTACACTCCCACCGAAGATTAACTTCAGTGGAGTTATGCAGACAAGTCCGATCAGTCAGATGCCTTCTATGACCTGTCCCGTGTGCTGGATAAATTGGCCCCTCGGGATAGAGTCATAATTTTATGCTCGAGAGGGTCATAACGGAGGCACCCGAGCTGGAGAGATTGGAAGGCATGGGCCAGATCAGCTCAATAATAACGGAAGGTTGCTCGACTTTTGTGCAGCCCATGGGCTCGTAATCACTAACACGCTGTTCGGGCATCGGTGCATCCACGCAACATTATGGATGCATGCCGGGTCCAAGCCAGAACATCTGCGGGACTACATCGTGACGGAACGGAGAATGCACTCCCATTTCCTTCACACCAGAACCTCCTTTTGGAGCCGATTTTCCCATTGGCCATCTGATCCGTCACCTGTGAGATGCGCCGGACATTCCTCCACTGTGGTGGTGGGCGTCCACTTAAGACTGCATTCAAACCCACAATAGCCATGCGCTCGGCTTGCTGATGAAGGCTCCAAGTGCGAATGTCATCATCGCTTACAGCTGGCATTGGCATCAAAATCAGCATCGTCCATAATAGAGGGGTTCTTTTGGCTTAGATTGCGTGAATAACAGGACCCTGCGGGGTGGGCTGGGAGGAATAATACTAATACCGGTACAGGGATATCGACCGGGTATAGAGGAGTTAAAAAGAAAATGATTTGTGCTTGGGGGGTAAGCAATGACGTCAACACCCCCCTCCCCACCGACTCGCGCGCACACAGA